GGCCGGGCGTTCCTGGCTCCTCCTCTACGAGTGTCTCACGTTCTTCGCCCTCCTTCCAGGGAGTTAGACAGCGGCGACGGGCTGCTTCCCGGGGGAGTGTAACAAAAAAGGAGGCCTGGTCGAGGACCGGGCCGCGGGGACGCTAAACCAAGAAATCATCTCAAGATAACCTCCCCGCGCCCTCCACACTACTTAACCCTCCTAGTTCTACCAACACTCGCACAATACACCATGCGGATCCCAGCTTTATCTTTAAATTGTGAAGTTTGTGTATTGTGCAACTTTTTGTTCAGTGCCAGGCTGCCGTCCAGGGCCAGGCTGCCGTCCAGGGCCAGGCTGCCGTCCAGGGCCTGGTCCCCTACAACACACCAATGAGCGACCGGATACCACCCAATAGTAACCCGCTTGACCTCTGCACTAACTGCCCTATCAACCGCCTTCTCAACTAACACGTTTCATTTTCTACGCTGTGATTCTTCAACGTACAAAATACAGGGTAAACTATGAAAAAATAGCTGACATACATCCCCGTTTTCTAAACATCGGTTGGTTAGGTTAGGGTGGGTTGCTTAGTATTCGCATGTTTCCGGTTAGGATAGCACCTTGTATATGGTACGTTGTGACAAGTCAGGAGGACGGGGCTGGGTGCATGTACCGTGCGTCCCGCCACTCACAACTCGACGGCTTGCTGGTGGATACGCTGGGTAGCCTGAGGGCGGGGCGAGGGAGAAGGGGGATCGAACGAGGGGATCCGGAAAGATCCGCTCCCTAGAGTAATCCAGCCGGGACAATCACGCGTACCGTAAGCCTCTCATGCTCCTACATCAACCCCCCCCCCCTTCCCAATACTTTCCCGCGCGGTAACATTGGCGGTGGAGCCCTCCCCTTCACCTCCACGGATGGCGGCGGTGGATGGAAGAAGGGGGACTTCATTCACCCTTCTCTCCTATCCTTCCCACGCCGGTCCACACAACCCGTCCTGGATGTCGTCGGTTCCTTCCCGACCCTCACACACCACACACACACACACACACACACACACACACACACACACACACACACACACACACACACACACCACACACACACACCACAACAGTAATGTGGTGGAGGCTGACTCCATACACAGTTTCAAGTGTAGATATGATAGAGCCCAATAGACTCAGGAACCTGTACATCTGTTGATTGACGGTTGAGAGGCGGGACCAAAGAGCCAGAGCTCAACCCCCGCAAACACAACTAGGTGAGTACTAGGTGAGTACACACACACACACACACACACACACACACACACACACACACACACACACACACACACACACACACACACACACACACACACACACACACACACACACACACATTCTTTCCACCATTAAAAACGACTGTAGCACTCAGGTCACTCCTCTTCCCTCAGATGTAAGCCCCTCACGTCTAACTCTTTCCTCCCGTAGGCGCCTTCCTGGTGCCCTACTGCGTGATGCTGGTGCTCGGAGGCATTCCTCTCTTCTTCATGGAGTTGGCTCTGGGGCAGTATAACCGCAAGGGCGCCATCACCTGCTGGGGCCGCCTCGTGCCGCTCTTCAAGGGTAAGTCAAACATGTCTCTTGTACTTCGATGTTAACGCCAGAAGGGGAGGTGGATGGGTCCACTTCTCATCGCCGGGGTCCGGTAAGATCAGGCCCAAGGTCTTTTTTAGTCATTCATGATTAGTGCCAGACTTTTGGAGGTAGTGCCAGACTCTTGAGGTAAAGTGCCAATTTGGGGAGCGACATAGATTGTTGCTTGGGTGCCGGGTTATGTGTGTGTGTGTGGTGTGTGTGTTGTGTGTGTGTGTGTGTGTGTGTGTGACTGGGTTGGAAATGGTGACACTTCATATCAAATATTAAGGCAGGAGCTCAGAGGGAAGCGAACATCGGTCCAAGGCAGACGAGAGAGAGAGAGAGAGAGAATGAAAGAGTGAGAGAATGAGAGAGAGGGGGGGGGGTCGGGGGGGGGATAATCCGACTCACAGGGACCAGGTTTATTAATGAGAAGCTGGAAACTATTAAGAGACAAACTCAGCTGATATGTGTGCGTGCGTGTGTGTGTGTGTGTGTGTGTGTGTGTGTGTGTGTGTGTGTGTGTGTGTGTGTGTGTGTGTGTGTGTGTGTGTGTGTGTGTGTGTGTGTGTATGTGTGTGTATGTGTGTGTGCGTGTGTGCGCGTGTGTGCGTGTGCGTGCAGGCCGCTGATAACCATGCGAGGTATTCAAGTGAGGTGAAGAAGGGTAATCGTTATCACTTCTCCGGCTCGACCTTCCACTGGGAAATGGAAAAATAACATAAGGGAAAGGCACTCTTACCGGGATGGACAGAGCGAGAGGCTGTGATTGAGAGAGAGAGAGAGAGAGAGAGAGAGAGAGAGAGAGAGAGAGAGAGAGAGAGAGAGAGAGAGAGAGAGAGAAGAGAGAGAGAGAGAGAGAGAGAGAGAGGAGAGAGAGAGAGAGAGAGAGAGAGAGAGAGACAGAGAGAGAGAGACAGAGAGAGAGACAGAGAGAGAGACAGAGAGAGACCCACCTCCCCCCCCCTCCCAGCTCTCCCCCTCCCTGCACCATCCCTCTCCCCACCAGATCAGGATCCTTATTATAAGGCAGCGTTGCAGGCGAGTGCACGCGTGGCTCTTCTTTACTCACGTACCAAGTCCCCACCATAACCCCCCCCCTCCCAACACTACCTCACCCCCCCCCCCCATCTGACACCCCCCCACCAAAAAAAAAAATACGGCCTCCTGCCCCACCTTCCCCCGTCAACCACACACAACTAGGTAACTACAGACACTCGTTGTTGTTGTTTTTAGATTCAGCTACTCAGAACAAGAAGTTCCAAGTAGCACGGGCTATGGTGAGCCCGTATACAGACACTCACAAGTCTGGACTAATCTAGCTGCAGTCTTGGGAACTCTTGGCCCCCTACAGACAGGTCTTGCCGAGTGGGATATCCCATAAAACGGCGAGGGACACGCTGAGAAAATGAATAAGGCGTTTGGGCAAGCACCAGCAGGCATGTTCAGGCGCTTGTCTCTTAGAAGTGTGTGGTAGTGTGGCAGTGTGGTAGTGTGGCAGTGTGGCAGTGTGGTAGTGTGGCAGTGTGGCAGTGTGGCAGTGTGGCACTGTGGTAGTGTGGCAGTGTGAGAGGGAGCGGGCCCACCGCCTGATGCAACACTTCCCACAAATTATATCAACAAGGTTTCAATAGATAAAGGACAACCTTGACAGACAGTTGGTAGAGAGCTACATTAACAGGTGTCAGCATGGCGGGGCGCAAAGAAGCCAGGGGGCCAGATTCATGAAAGCACTTACGCAAGCACTTACGAACGTGTACATCTTTCCTTAACCTTTGACGGCTTTGTTTACATTTATTAAACAATTTACAAGCATGAAAACTTGCCAATCAACTGTTGTTATTGTTATAAACAGCCTCCTGGTATTTCGGAGCTCATTCACTGTTTAATAATTGTAAACAAAGCCGCCAAAGATTGAGAAAAGATGTACAGGTTCGTAAGTGCTTGCGTAACTGCTTCGCGAATCTGGCCCCAAGTTCCCCAGGAATCAGTTCTCAGCACCACATCTTTCGTGGATATACTCGTATAACTACCGGCATAAAGAGTATACTTGTATATCTAGCTACCGGAAGCGTATGCTCGTATATACTCCGGCCTCAAGTGGCTAGTCAACTTGGACCCTAACAACCGGCACTGACGATGGGTCAAGATAAAGCTTATCACCAATACCGTACCCCCGAGAGGGGAAACAGGTGTCCAACGAGAGGGGAAACAGGTGTCCAACGAGAGGGGAAACAGCTGTCCAACGAGAGGGGAAACAGCTGTCCAACGAGAGGGGAAACAGCTGTCCAACGAGAGGGAAACAGCTGTTCAACGAGAGGGAAAACAGCTGTCCAACGAGAGGGGAAACAGGTGTCCAACGAGAGGGAAACAGGTGTCCAACGAGAGGGAAACAGCTGTCCAACAATAGGGGAAACAGGTGTCCAACGAGAGGGGAAACAGCTGTCCAACGAGAGGGGAAACAGCTGCAGTGGTAGTTGAAGTGGAGGCACTTGTTGAGAACTAATCACCTTATTATATGTTTTCCAGATGAGGGATTACCCGTCAATGGTTATGTACGAAGGCAGTAACCTTCGTAACCCAGTAACCTGAGACTAGATTCACGAAGCAGTTAAGCAAGTACTTACGAACATATCTTTTCTCAATCCTTGGCGGCTTTGTTTACAATTATTAAACAGTTAAATGAGCTCCGAAGCACCAGGAGGCTGTTTATAACAATAACAACAGTTGATTTGGCAAGTTTTCATGGTTTGTAAACTGCTTAATAAATGTAACCAAAGGTGTCGAAGACTGAGGAAAGATGTACACGTTCCTAAGTGCTTGCGTAACTGCTTCGTGAATCTGGCCCCAGGGCAGCAACAGTTGCAGGTGTAATTACCTAAGTGTAATTACCTAAGTGTAGTTACAGGATGAGAGCTACGCTCATGGTGTCCCGTCTTCCCAGCACTCTTTGTCATATAACGCTTTGAAACTACTGACGGTCTTGGCCTCCTCCACCTTGGTGTGTGTGTGTGTGTGTGTGTGTGTGTGTGTGTGTGTGTGTGTGTGTGTGTGTGTGTGTGTGTGTGTGTATATCCCGGAACTAACACCCTGGATGGTGTGTATGTGTGTATTCCAGGTGTGGGGTTCCAGGTGGTGTGTATCGCCTTCTACGTCGACTTCTTCTACAACGTCATCCTGGCCTGGAGCCTGCGCTTCTTCTTCGCCTCCTTCACCACGGACCTGCCCTGGACCAACTGTAATAACGAGTGGAACACCCCCAACTGCAGAGAGGTGAGGCGGAGGGCACACGCTGACATGACCTATGTGAAGATGAGGTTGAAAGGTACCTCAGTACACAATCTCAAATGTAATCTCCAAAATAAAAATGATAGGTGCTAACACTCACTCACTCACTCACTCACTCACTCACTCACTCACTCACTCACTCACTCACACACACACACACACACACACACACACACACACACACATCTTGTGTATATGTGTGTGTGTGTGTGTGTGTGTGGAACCTGTACACCTGTTGATTGACGGTTGAGAGGCGGGACCAAAGAGCCAGAGCTCAACTCCCGCAAGCACAATTAGGCGAGCACACACACACACACACACACACACACACACACACACACACACACACACACACACACACACACACACACACACACACACACACACACACACACACACTAGACCGTTACACCTACAATTATACCAATATATATTCAGAAACTTTTCGCGTTTTTTCCTCCAGTAAACTTTACCATGTAAAACTTTATAAAATTTATTCCACATTGAAAGAAAATTACTCGTGACCTCACAATTATAATACAAATATATATTATAATATATATCATAGTTATTATTATGTAAATAATAGTAAGATTACTAACGAGAGGTGAGGTCAGATCGGCAGCAAGGCGCCCGTCTGGAGCTACGCCAACAGCAGCACCTTGGAGGACTCCGGCAGCCTGGCCACCTTAGACAACCTGACGGTGGAGACCTTGGGACCCGGGGCACCAGGGGGCTTCCTCCCCCTTCTCAACAAGACCACTACCCCGGCCGAGGAGTACTGGACGTGAGTCTCTTGTACTCTGTTGGACTCACCGTCCTCTATAGCTCTCTCTCACTAGCCTTCACAGGACTCTTACTATACTTCACAGGACTCTCACTATCCTTCACAGGACTCTCGGACTCTCACTATCCTTCACAGGACACTTGTGTAATACTGGAGTGATACAACACCAATCTTGTAGCTACTTTATCACCAAACTATTTTACCACATTAGTAATCTGTATATATATATATATATATATATATATATATATATATATATATATATATATATATATATAATATATATATATATATATATATATATATATATATATATATACCAGCATCCAAGATAACTTATATATCCTGGGGGGACCATTTAGCTGTGTGTGTGTGTGTGTGTGTGTGCTCATCTATTTGTGCTTGCAGGATCGAGCTCAGCTCTTGGAACACAGTTTTCTAGCCGCTGGTTGTCTAATACAATGACTCCTGACCTATTTCCCCTACCATATCTGTTTTTAAAGTTGTGGATAGAGGTTGCTTCTACAACCTGCTTCTTTAGGTCATTCCATTTACTCACTATACCCTTACGCTAAAGGAAGACTTTCTAACATCTCTATGACACATCTGAGTCTCAAGTTTCCATCCCTGCCTCTTTGTTCTATCGGTATTCATTGTAAATATTTCCTCTTTTTCCACCTTATCAATCCCCTTATGTATTTTATACGTCTGTATAATATCCCCCCCTCTTTCTCCTCCTTTCTAGCGTCGTCAGGTTTAGTTCCTTCAGTCTTTCTTCATACCTCATTGCTTCCAACTCTGGGATAAGTCTCGTCCCAGAGTTTGCACTTCTGCACCCTTTCGAGCTTCCTGATGTGTTTTTGTTTAGATGGGGGCTTCACGATGGTGCGGCATACTCTAAAACTGGCCTCACATAGGTGGTAGACAGTGATCTAAAAGTCTCCTTCTTTAAGTTCCTGAAGGATGTTCTGACTTTTGCCAGTGTAGAGTATGCGGCTTACATTATTCTATTTATACGAGCCTCTGGAGTTAGGTTTGGTGCACTCCCAGGTCTTTTTCTCTTATTATAGTAATGTAGTTTTCCTTCGTTGTGTATTGACCTTTCGGTCTCCTGGCTCCTGAGCCTATTTCCATCACGTTACACTTGCTGGTGTTGAACTCCAGCAGACATTTACCGAACTAGTTCTGCATCTTTTTCAAGTCGTCTTGGGGAATATTACAATCCTCATCTGTCTCAACCCTCATTAGTTTCGCATCGTCTACAAACATCTACATATAAGATTCAACTCAGTCAAGTTATTTACGTAAATGAGGAATAGTACGGGTCCCAGCACTGATCCTTGTGGTACCCCGCTTGTTACTCTATAGCAGTCCGACTTCTCACGCTTCATTCTCACTCTTAGACGCCTGCCTCCGAGGTGATTCCTTATCCATGTCAGCGTGCTTCCGCCTTCTCCCGCCTGCCTCCGAGGTGATTCCTTATCCATGTCAGCGTGCTTCCGCCTTCTCCCGCCTGCCTCCGAGGTGATTCCTTATCCATGTCAGCGTGCTTCCGCCTTCTCCCGCCTGCCTCCGAGGTGATTCCTTATCCATGTCAGCGTGCTTCCGCCTTCTCCCGCCTGCCTCTCGAGGTTCTATAGTATCCTCCTGTGTGGTACTGTATCAAAGACTTTTTTACTGTCCAGAAATACGCATTCTACACAGCCTTCTCTTCTCTGCCTTGCCTTCTCGCGCGTGTGTGAAGAAGTCTATATGTTGTATCTTACTCTCACTACACTACACTCTCCCCAGTTCATCCCTCTTCCTCAACTCACCATACTCTCATTGTCTCACACAGTCGTTTGGTAGAATTTCCTCGCTAACAAAACTTCACCTTCCCCCCTGTGGCTTTCACCACTCTCACTATCTCATCACCGCCCTCGCTGTTTATCTCACTATCTCCCTTCCCTCCCCTCTCCCCAGCTCCCCTCTCCCCTCTGCTCCACTACACTTCTACTAACCATCCTCCCCCCAACTCTACCACCCCATATGAGGCGGAAGTGAGACGTAAGGAGTTTCCTATGTTACCTTTCCGGTGGAGAGGAGCCGCTCGGGGAGAGTAGGGAGGTAAGGGGGGGGGGAGGGAGGTAGGTAAAGGGAAGGGAAGTATGGAGGGAAAGGAACTAACAAGGCAGGAAGTTAAGGATGAAGGTAAACTGACAAGGAAGTTTGGTTTGATTTGGTTAGGTTAGGTTAGGTTAGGTTAGGTTAGGTTAGTCTGTGTTAGGTTAGGTTAGGTTAGGTTAGGTTAGTCTGTGTTAGGTTAGGTTAGGTTGGTCTGTGTTAGGTTAGGTTAGGTTAGGTTACGTTAGGTTAGTCTGTGTTAGGTTAGGTTAGGTTAGGTTACGTTAGGTTAGTCTGTGTTAGGTTAGGTTAGGTTAGGTTAGTCTGTGTTAGGTTAGGTTAGTCTGTGTTAGGTTATGTTAGGTTAGATTAGGTTATGATGTTAGATTAGGTTATGATGTTAGATTAGGCTAGATTAGGTTGGTTAAGACAACACTAGGCTAGATTAGGCTTGATTGCGTTATCTTAGGCAAGACTAGGCTAGGCGAGGCCAGGCTAGGAGAGGGGAAATCTAGGCTAGGTTAGAATAAGTGAGGTTAGATGAGGTGAGGATTGTAATAGAAGGCCTGGTCGACGACCGGGCCGCGGGGACGCTAAGCCCCGAAATCATTTCAAGGTAGGCTAGATCAAACTAGGATTGAATAGATTAAGTTAGGCTAGGCTAAGCTATTCTAGGTTATAATCAAGTGTTAATACCTGACATAATTCATTATCACTCATTAAATCCCAATTCAGCATCACCAGCCAACACTTACCATACCATCAGGGTATGGCGCACAGGACTCGTAATTCTCTAGCCCGGGTTCGATTCCCGGGCCAGGCAAAAACAATGACCAATCAGTGTCACCACGAGATTCTGATTACACAAATATAAACACACTTCTGACTTTTCCGAGGATAGGTGAAGACCAAAGGTGTATATTGTGAGATCGGGGTGGGACGGGGCGGGACGGGACGGGACGGGACGGGGTGGGTTGGGGGACACAATCTTACTTTCCCCTCACCAGGACCTTTCCGGCACAGGGTGACATATTCCCCTCTAATGGTATGTTCGCCACACTACGCCATCTTGCTCCCTTCTCCCAAGTGACTCAATACGCCTTACGCAGCCTCCAACACTACCTTACGCTGCCTCCAACACTACCTTACGCAGCCTCCAACACTACCTTACGCTGCCTCCAACTCACCAACACACCGGTGCTCAATCACCAACACCGTCCTCCTCTTCCACAGCACACCTCCCAACCCTTCTCCCCCATCCCCCAACACAGCCTCCAACACACAACCTAACCTTCCCTGCCTTCCCCCCCCACCATCGCTGCCCGGGGGAGGGCCGTCGAACCCCCGGACATACTATTAATAAGGGGTGGTGGTGGTGGCCGCCCCCTGATCCATTACCGCCCACAAGGAACTCTTCATTCTTCCAGACCTTGTATTCACCGGTAGGTGTTGCTCGGCTCCCGACATGCCATACCACTTACTGCATAATGCTGGTGTTGCGTTGGTGGTGTTGAGCGGGTGGTGTTGATCGTGGGTAGTGTTGATCGTGGATAGTGTTGATCGTGGATAGTGTTGATCGTGGGTAGTGTTGATCGTGGATAGTGTTGATCGTGGGTAGTGTTGATCGTGGGTAGTGTTGATCGTGGATAGTGTTGATCGTGGGTAGTGTTGAACGTGGGTAGTGTTGATCGTGGGTAGTGTTGATCGTGGGTAGTGTTGATCGTGGGTGGGAGGGGGGGGGGGCGGGTTTTGGTGTAGCATATATTGTATTTTGATGACCAATGGGTTTGGCAAGGTGGGTGAGGTATCGTATTGAGCTCTCACCTGTATTGTATTGACCTGCCTCACCTGTATTGTATTGACCTGTCTCACCTGTCTCACCTGTGACAGGCGCGAGGTGCTTCAGCTCCAGGAGAGCTCCGGCATCTCCAACTTGGGAATCATCAAGTGGGACCTGGCACTGTGCCTCCTGGCCGTCTACCTCATCTGTTACTTCTCCCTCTGGAAGGGCATCTCCACCTCCGGCAAGGTCAGATATACCCCCATAACCCCCCCCCATACCTCAAGATACCCCCCCATAATCCCCCCCATACCTCAAGATACCCCCATAACCCCCCCCCACACACCTAAAGATACCCCCATAACCCCCCACACACACCTAAAGATACCCCCATAACCCCTCCCCCCCCCACACACACCTAAAGATACCCCCATAACCCCTCCCCCCACACCTAAAGATACCCCCATAACCCCTCCCCACCCACCTCAAGATACCCACAAACTGCCCCAGTTTCTGGTATAAATAATACCACATATATATGCTATCCCACAATACACGCTATCATATCCCTAATATAGTACATATATGTACTATACTAGAGCCTAGGAATATTTAAGTTTGGTTTTAAGCTAATTTTTTCAAGCAATAATTATACTAGAGGTAAACATTTTGGGGGTCCCAACAGTACATGTTTGGTACGTTTGACCAATATATTTGGTATGAGAACTACGAGTTTAGAAGACTAGGTTGCTTACCTCTTAAACCACTAGGTCAAGACAGCCAATAATACGGCTGTCATACACACGTGGGGTGTATTACATTCATACTAACATATACATTGATATTATCATCACATATTCATACAGTGTATATCTAGGAATACAGGGGAGGGCACATGTAACACTGATACAGTTGTATACATACCGTTAATTCGTGGCAGCAATACTGATGTATACGTAATACACATTTAAGGCACGAATACCTTCTTCTGTCATTGTCTATATATTGGTAAGAGTAGCGGGACAATCAGACTGTTGTTATAGGCCGCTGCCTTCACTGTATATACGGTGTATACACCCAATGTTTCGAGGCCTACAAAATATACAACACTGAGGCAGTAGGCCTAGTGGCCACCTTTCCCAAAGTCATACACTGAGTATTATTTACCCGTATTAAACGAGAACGGGACGGGATGAGGCTGAATGAGGAGAAACATAATAAAATAGAGGGAGATGCAGAGTAGAGAGGGAGGGAATAAGATAGAGGGAGATGAAGAGTAGAGAGGGAGGGAATAAGATAGAGGGAGATGAAGAGTAGAGAGGGAGGGAATAAGATAGAGGGAGATGAAGAGTAGAGAGGGAGGGAATAAGATAGAGGGAGATGAAGAGTAGAGAGGGAGGGAATAAGATAGAGGGAGATGAAGAGTAGAGAAGGAGGCGAGATGAAGGTCGCCTGGAGGGACCTCACATCTGGTATTGACACCGGAACAGCACGTCCAAGTCTTGGATCAGCTCCTGCTGGGGTTCAGTCTTCTCCAGTGACTCCCTGGCTGGTTGGCTGGCTACCTACCCGGCTCCCTATCTCCCTACCTGGCTTCGTATCTCCCTACCTGAGTCTCCGTGTCTCCCTGTATCTTCCTCACTCCCTGCAGGCGACGCCTGAGAAGCAGTTAGGTCACTGACCCGCCGAGTAGCGAGGTCATTGACCTGCTGAACAGTGAAGACATTGACCTGGCCAGCGATATAAGCAGTGACCTATTGAGAAGTGTGGTGTGAGCATTGGCCTCTTGAGCAGTGTGTGTGAGCTTTGACCTCTTGAGCAGTGTGTGTGAGCATTGACCTCTTGAGCAGTGTGTGAGCATTGACCTGGTTAATGTGACCTTTGACATCTCCCCCCATGACAATATCCGAGGTTATTGAGGGGAGGGGGAAAGGGGGGGGAGGGGGTTAATGAGAAACCGGTCAACGCCGCTCCAGAAGTTAATTTCCTGCCACTTGATTGGGAGTAAATTGTGGTTAATGAAGCAGTTTCCCCTAATGAGTCATTCAAGGTCAGCGGGCTACTGTCATGTATAGTACACACACACACACACACACACACACACACACACACACACACACACACACACACACACACACACACACACACACACACACACACACATACATATACACTAGGCAGCATACTCCTCGGTGGAGGCAGAAACAAATGACCAGAGTTTCTTTCACCCTGATGCATCTGTTCACATAACAGTAAATAGGTACCTGTGAGTTAGACAGCTGCTACGGGCTGCTTCCTGGGGATGTATTTGTGTGTGTGTGTGTGTGTGTGTGTGTGTGTGTGTGTGTGTGTGTGTGTGTGTGTGTTAGAGAGAACTATATGTAGTAGATATAATAGAGGAAAAATAGCTTGGTTAGAAAGGCGGGGTCCAAGTGTTAATTAATAGTTCGATTCTGCAGACACAAATACTAAATACACGCACACTAGAGTTCAACACCAGCAAGTGTAAGTTGATGCCCATTGTTTCTCGCCGGCGCCTGGGATCGAACCCAGGACCACAGGATCACAAGTCCAGCGTGCTGTCCGCTCGGCCGACCGGCTATAAGATGAAAACACTTCGAAAACGCAGCAAGTACAGACAGATAAGAGGCGGGGACCAAGGAGCTACAGCTCAGCCGCCCTAGACACTGACTATATGAGAACAGTTGTCACCTTCCAGGGATTCGAACCCGGGCCTCAAGGAAGGCATGTCGGAACCCTGCATGTAATTAACGCAAAAAGAGGCACACGGCATTTTTTTTATTAATTAACAAGGGTTGAGATTTAAGTAGTGATGAGGGCATGACGAAGGGAAAGGGTAGGAAGGGGAGGGGGTGGGATGTGAGGGGAGGAGGGGAAAGGACGAGGGGAGGGGAGGTAAAAGGAGGACGGAAGTGAAGGGCTGGAGTAGAGAGATGAAGGGATGGGAGGGACGGAAGGGAGGTAAGGGAGAAGGCGAAAATTGAGATGGAATGGGGTAGAAAGTGAGGGGAGAGGGGAGGAGAGAGGGAAGAAAGGGGAGGGAAGTGGGTGGGGGAGGTAGTAGGGAGATATGGGAGGGGGAAATCGTTTAGGTGAACCAGGTGACAGGATGGGGGGGAGGAGGGAGAAAGGTGAGGGGAAAGGGGAAGTGAGGTAAGGGGACGATGGAGTCAGGTAAGGGAAAGGGGAGGGAGGGGACGGGACGGTAAGGGACGGGGTAGTTGGCACTGTAAATCAATGTGTCTTATAAGGGTGACGACGGCCGGAACGGAAGAGAAGACAAAAGAGGAACGGACAGGAACGGAAGGGGGAAACAAACACATCTGATGAAAGAAGAGAAACGATGAAGAGGATAAGAATAATGACAGAAGGGGAAATCAAGAATGAAAATGAAGTAGAAATGAGTGAAAATGTGAAGGGAAGAGAATGGGAGAGAAAAACACAGGAAAAGAAATTTAAGGTGAGCTTAAAGCCTGAGACAGGATGGAATAGATGAGAAAGTTGACACAAGATAGAAAATAGGGACATGCAGATATTTGTGAGAAAAGGGAGAAGAAAAAAGGAATTTAAGATAAACCAGAAAAATTAAGAAAAGGGATGCAAAGAGAAATGCATAAACGGAAACAACAGGAAAGAGGTAAAGATTAGAGAAAAGAAAGAGTAAACATGAGACAAAGAAAAGACATTAAAGTGGATGAGAGGGGCAGAGGATAGGTGAGATTTTGGGAGAGGGGAGGAACTAGGACAGGCAGGACTGGGGGAGGAAAGGGACAGGACAGTCGTGAAGGGACAGAAAGACAGTCACGCCCCGTCTCCCGTATGCAACACACACACACATTGCAAGGGGGAAGGGGGGTAGAAATAGGCCTAAGCTACTCTATATCCCTTTGAGATGTATTTCTTTCTTGTCTCAATAAACAAACTTGAACTTGAACTTAAACACTACACACACAAATCACACTAACGTGATGCAATGAACATTACAATGAACATTACATTACATAATGAACAATACAATGAACACATTGTAAATCTCTACAACACCTCGAAGCTTCCGCTCTTGAAGCCCGCTTGTTTGTGGCTACTTCAAAATTGTAATTTATTTTGTCAATAAAGATGTTAATAATAATAATATTTCTACCACCATTTTTCTTTCTCTCTCTTGTCCGCCTCCTGTGGTCGCATAACCTGTCCTTATCTGTCATTCTCCTCTTCCTCTTCATTATTCTCTTCTTTTAGCTGTCTTTTCCTTTCCTTAATGTTCTTTAGCGTGTTCCGTTTCTCCCTTTCTTTTCGTTTCTATTTCCTCTCCCATCTCTTCCATCTCCTGCCCCCTAGCCTCATCTTCCGTATATTTCCCTACACACTGGAGGCCACTTCCCTCCCTCCTTATCTTCCTTCCTTCCTTCCTTCCTTCCTTCCTTCCTTCCTTCCTTCCTTCCTTCCTTCCTTCCTTCCTTCCTTCCTTCCTTCCTTCCTTCCTTCCTTCCTTCCTTCCCACCTTTCCCTCCTCCTTATTTCCCCTCTCACTGTGCAGTAAGACATTTTACACCACTTACGATTTATTCGGTTGGCGTCGACCTCCCTCTACCACCCTCTTTCCCCTCCCTCCCTCTCTCTCTCCCCCATTCTTGCGATTTATGCTGTTCACTCTCCCCCCTCTCCCTCCCTGCCTCTCCCTCACTCACTCAGTCGCAATAGTGCCACAAAAGGGGCCACTTTCCACCGTGTAATGACCATAATGATGGCTAGGAGAGCAACCCCCCCTCTCTCTCTCTCTCTCCCTCTCTCTCTCTCTCTCTCTCTCTCTCTCTCTCTCTCTCTCTCTCCATACATGGTACCTGCTGGCCTGGCCTGGCCTGGCCTGGCCTGGCCTGGCCTGGGTGGCCACGGGCCACGGGCCACAATGGGCCAACATTTAGTATGCATCGCCGCCATTCATTCTCCTGCTTTGTTTACATATTTAAATTTTTTCCCGCCAATTTTGATGTTTTTTTTAACTTGCGATAATTAGTTTTTTAATTATATTTTTGTTAGCGATGAGAGTCATCATTATTATCCGTAAGATACACAAAAACACACACACGCGCGCACGCACACACATGGGGGGGGGGGCTGTGACTGAGTGGACAGGGCTTAGGGTTCGTAATCCTAGGGGTCCGGGTTCGATCCCGGCGCCGGGGGAAACAAAAATGGGCAGATTTTTTTTCACCCTGATGCCCCCTGTTATCTTGCAGTAAATAGGTAATTGGGAGTTAGACAGCTGTTACGGGCTGCTTCCTGTGTGTGTGTGTGTGTGTGTGTGTGTGTGTGTGTGTGTGTTTACTAGTTGTGTTTTTGCGGGGGTTGAGCTTTGCTCTTTCGGCCCGCCTCTCAACTGTCAATCAACTGTTTACTAACTAACTACTAACTACTTTTTTTTTTCCCACACCACACACACACCCCAGGAAGCAGCCCGTGACAGCTGACTAACTCCCAGGTACCTATTTACTGCTAGGTAACAGGGGCACTTAGGGTGAAAGAAACTTTGTCCATTTGTTTCTGCCTCGTGCGGGAATCGAACCCGCGCTTGTAGTCACCAGTTAGTCACAGCTAAAGCAACAGGAAACCCACACCTCAGTGCGTTAATTTCACGTTAACCCATAAGTCAGATTGTGTAGGTACCAGCGCCTGTAAAACGTGTCAAGCAGATAACAGCAGACAGCTTGCTTGTGCTCTCCCATCAAACGAGCAACCGCGTTTTTTTTGTGTTGATAGAAAGATAGCCCCTTAGGTTATCTCTGGTAGGCGGGGCCTAACACCCTGGCTCCCAGATAAGTAGGATAGCAGTTTCATATTCACAAAGGAAATCCACGCGAGAGAGAGAGAGAGAGCGAGAGAGAGAGAGAGAGAGAGAGAGAGAGAGAGAGAGAGAGAGAGAGAGAGAGAGAGAGAGAGAGAGAGAGAGAGAGAGAGAGAGAGAATCTCTCGATTGAAGGGAAGTTGGTATTAGACTCCATGAAGTTGTTGATTTATGTTAACTATTTAATAAGCCTGTTTTTAGGCCTATCCAGGTCCCCAAGAGGTTAAACTACTTAAACTCCGTACCGGAGGGCCCTTAGGACATAACCCACAACAATAGCCTAACTCCCGAGTATCTGTCTTAATATTAGGTTAAGAGAAGCACAAGGTAAAAAGAAAACGTGCCCAACCAGTTCTGTCGTGCCGATGACTGTATCCGGGGGTATCTCGGTTGAAAGTCCACAGCGTAGACCACTTTGAGCCCCTGTCAGATCAATATTAATCCCATCCCACGTCAAAATTGCCATTGATTTGTTACCAGTTGTCAATAAATGATATTGCATTTGATTTGCAATAATTGTCTTGCCGGCAGTTGATCCTCGCTGCCCCGCACACCGCCAACTCGGCACGTTGGTAAAACCCTCCACTGGCCCTAATTAACTCGTACACTAGTATATATATTTGCCTGGCAATAACTCACTCCTTTACGGGCTCACCATAGCCCGTGCTACACGGATACTTCGTTCTGAGTAGCTAAATCTGAAACAACGACTCACTCCTTCATTATCCCCGACGATTGGTATACCAATCACAGGCTTATTTCCATTTCCAGCCAGATTCACGTTGAATTTAATTACCAATCTCCCCTATATTGACCTCGCGAAGCACCCCTTCCCCCCCCCCCCCCCCCCAACACCCTGGCTCTTCTTGGCCTTGGTGCAGCGTTTCTTTATCATTATAACAATCCTAAGACTCCCAAACTATCATTCAGATATTCTTACCTTGACTGACTGAGTGATGAAGATTAAGCGACCCAAGAAGAGGTGGCACGGGCACGAATAACCCGTAATTCTTACCTTTGTTGGTCGATGCCTTAAATTGTAATGCCTCAGTTGTTCTTTTCCCTCATCACCTCCTCATTGTCCTCATTTAGAGAGCTGAGGAATCACCCACACAACCACGGCAGCTCTATAGCTTTTTAATTGTGGGATTTTTCAACGTTTTCTATGTTCCGCCTTTCAGCTAGGACTCCTGCTTGGCCTCTATGTAAACATTAGGCATACGCACTTACAAATCCTCCCTCGGGGGGCATATACTTTTGTAAAAAGTTGACTTCATCTCTCAGTTCGTTGATGAGTCGTTAGTATAATAGACTGAGGTCATCTTCGCCCATTAACAATGCCTGGATAACAGGTTGTTCACCAGCACTGAACAACACGTCCGCGCTTAACAAAAAACGGGCGGCTACTCTCCAAGGGCAAGATTCACGAAAGTACTTACGCAAGCACTTACGAACGTGTACATCTTTCCTCAATCTTTGACGACTTTGGTTACATTTATTAAACAGTTTGCAAGCATGAAAACTTGCCAATCAGCTGTTGTTATTGTTATAAACAGCCTCCTGGTGCTTCGGAGCTCATTAACTGTTTAATAATTGGAAACAAATCCGCCAAAGATTGAGAAAAGATGTACAGGTTCGTAAGTGCTTGCGTAACTGCTTCGTGAATCTGGCCCCAGAACTGCTTCATGGGGACACTACACAGTATTTGGTGGATACAGGATAATATAACGCGTTAACTCCAAAACATTTATGGTAATTTATCATTTTTACCACTGTAGGGGAGGACGAGGGAAGAAAGAAAGTACATTTAATATTTGTACTTACTATTTGTGCCTGCAGGATGGATCTCTTAGCTCTTGGACCCCGCCTTTCTAACCGTCGGTTGTCTAATGTAATGACTCCCGATCTAATTTTTCCATTATCATATCAATTTATATATTTCTCTTTCACACACCCACATCTCCAGGATGCAGCCCTTTGCAGCTATCTATACCTTCTGCCTATTTACTGCGAGGTGAACATAGGCATCAGGTGAAAGAGACTCTTCCCATTTATTTCTGCCTCGACCGAAGAATCGAACCAGGGCCCTTAGGACTACGACTCCAGAGCGCTGTCTACTCAGCTGTGGGTGTGTGTGTGTGTGTGTACTCACCTAGTTGTGCTTGCGGGAGTTGAGCTCTGGCTCTTTGGTCCCGACTGAGAGACCAAAAGGGACCTATGTACTCACCTAGTTGTGTTTGCGGGGGTTGAGCTCTGGCTCTTTGGTCCCGCCTCTCAACCGTCAATCAATGGTATGTGTGTGGGTGCCAAGGAAAACAAAAGAAGGAGAGTGCCACAACTTAGCGAGGACCTCCCTTGCCATGGCATCACCTCCTCCTCCTCCTCCGGGTTACCGCTAGAGCTTTTAACATGACCGTAACATCATTAACATCAGCGAATTGTGTTTGCAAGTTGTACAGCATCCTGACCCGTGCACAGTAATAGATGACCCGCCTGGTGGCTGCGGGAGAGAGAGAGAGAGAGAGAGAGAGAGAGAGAGAGAGAGAGAGAGAGAGAGAGAGAGAGAGAGAGAGAGAGAGAGAGAGAGAGAAAGAGAGAGAGAAAGAGAGAAAGAGAGAAAGAGAGAGAAAGAGAGAGAGACAGAGAGAGACAGAGAGAGAGAGACAGAGAGAGAGAGATAATAAGTCAGCTTGATATATGAGGCAGCCATTTAATTTTACAGCCCCTCTCAGCCTTAAAAAAAAGACCTTATTGAGTGCCATTTGTGGCTATCGTGGCCGCACTAAAACCATCACTCAATCTACCACCACCACCACCACTACAACTATCCATCACGTTGCACCTACCACCATCGCTCTCCCCACCATCATTACCCCCACCACCACACCTACTACCCCCCCTCCAATAACCCACACACTCACCACCCCCCTCTCCCCCCTACACACTCCCAATATCAACCACTATGACAATTACCAGCACAACTGTTACAACCATTCTCACAATCACCATTACAGGCACTCACAATCACCTCACAACCACCCCTAACATTAACAATCACTTCCAATTTTAACTGCTTCATTGTAAACCTTTGTTAAAAAAACCAGTTACTATATTACAGGAAGAAAATCAGGTCCCTTGCATCCTAAGACATGAGCGAGACTCATATCTTGGACAGGACTCATCAACCACTTAAGTGCTCATTCACAAAATATATGGAAGCACTACGAGGTTATTCTTAAGAATGACTACCATAGCTTGTGACGTTTTAAAGATCATTACACACATAAAGAGGCCTTAGTATACTCCAAGAGGCCCAGCTGTACACAAAATTACTATGTTTAACAATATTGACTTTTAAACAGACGAGGGGTCACAATAACGTGGCTGAAATATATTGACCAAACCACACACTAGAAGGTGAAGAGACGTTTCGACGTTTCGGTCCGTCCTGGACCATTCTCAAGTCGATTGTGAGAGAGGGACTTGACTACAGAATGGTCCAAGACGGACAGAAACGTCGTCGTCTCTTCACTTTCTAGTGTGTTGGTATGGTCAACATTGACTTTATAGATTTACCAGAGACACTGATGTTGACTACGTAGCATTAACTGTAAACTTCTCCTCGCAGGTAGTGTGGTTTACGGCCATCTTCCCCTACGTGGTACTCTTCATTCTCCTCATCAGAGGGGTGACGCTGCCTGGGGCGGCGGAGGGCATCAAGTACTATCTCAAACCTGACTTCTCCAAGATCTGGGTGGCTGAGGTGAGTGTCTCGGTGATCTGAGTGGCTGAGGGGAGTGTCTCGGTGATCTGAGTGGCTGAGGGGAGTGTCTCGGTGATCTGAGTGGCTGAGGGGAGTGTCTCGGTGATCTGGGTGGCTGAGGGGAGTGTCTCGGTGATCTGGGTGGCTGAGGGGAGTGTCTCGGTGATCTGGGTGGCTGAGGTGAGTGTCTCGGTGATCTGAGTGACTGAGGGGAGTGTCTCGGTGATCTGGGTGGCTGAGGTGAGTGTCTCGGTGATCTGAGTGACTGAGGGGAGTGTCTCGGTGATCTGAGTGACTGAGGGGAGTGTCTCGGTGATCTGGGTGGCTGAGGTGAGTGTCTCGGTGATCTGGGTGGCTGAGGTGAGTGTCTCGGTGATCTGAGTGACTGAGGGGAGTGTCTCGGTGATCTGGGTGGCTGAGGTGAGTGTCTCGGTGATCTGAGTGGCTGAGGGGAGTGTCTCGGTGATCTGGGTGGCTGAGGGGAGTGTCTCGGTGATCTGAGTGGCTGAGGGGAGTGTCTCGGTGATCTGAGTGGCTGAGGTGAGTGTCTCGGTGATCTGGGTGGCTGAGGTGAGTGTCTCGGTGATCTGAGTGACTGAGGGGAGTGTCTCGGTGATCTGAGTGGCTGAGGGGAGTAGAAAGTGAGTTGACAGTAGCAGGCGAGAGCAACAAACTAGAATCTCTAAAAAACCTCTAGTGGTCTCCCCGAGGCGAGTGTGGAGGCGTCCACCACTTCCGCAACACCACATTTTAAAACTGGATTTCCAGGGATAAGCCCGCTAAGGCATCGTGTCCACAGGCCCCCTGAGTGGACACCGTCAGTGTACCACAGGGACAGCTCACATTGTACCATAGACACACCTCACATTGTACCATAGACACCTCACATTGTACCATAGACACCTCAATGTACCATAGACACCTTACAGTGTATCATAGAGACACCTCAATGTACCATAGACACCTTACAGTGTACCATAGAGACACCTCAATGTACCATAGATACCTTACAGTGTACCATAGACACACCTCAATGTACCATAGACACCTCACATTGTACCATAGACACCTCAATGTACCAAAGACACCTCACAGTGTACCATAGAGACACCTCAGTGTACCATAGACACCTTACAGTGTACCATAGAGACACCTCAATGTACCATAGACACCTCACAGTGTACCATAGAGACACCTCAATGTACCATAGACACTGTACCATAACAAAGTAACTCTAACCAGTTACTTTGTCACATATATAAACTTAAATAACATCCTTCCTGAACTGTACTTTACTCAAATAAACTCTCACTTAAACGTATACTCGGTAATGACGATGCTAGATTTACCCCGTCAAACACACGATGAAACTAATAGAACTAGGAGGATCCCCTTGATTGTTTCAAGCGTAGGTCAGACATATATATGAAGGAGATTGGGTGGATATATAAATAGGAGCTGCATCGTATGGGCCAATAGGCCTTCTACAGTTACCTTCATTCTTACGAAACTACAACGTCGCTACGTCGTTCGAACACGTTTTAACACCTAACAAGTTGTAACTACCTTCTAATACGTCATAAAAACATTATAACAAGCTGTAACAACTTTATTGCAAGTTGTAACAACTTTATTGCAAGTTGTAACAAGGAATCACAGGGACCGTTACACTGTGTGTTTGCAGGGTATCGAACGACGGCTATCAACACACATGGAACCTGACCCACAGAGACCATCCATATAAACCACCATCCATATAAACTACCATCCATATAAACTTCCATCCATATAAACGACCAGCCATATAAACTACCATCCGTATAAACGACCAGCCATATAAACTACCATCCGTATAAACTACCATCCGTATAAACTACCAGCCATATAAACTACCATCCGTATAAACTACCATCCGTATAAACTACCAGCCATATAAACTACCAGCCATATAAACTACCATCCGTATAAACTACCAGCCATATAAACTACCAGCCATATAAACTACCAGCCATATAAACTACCAGCCATATAAACTACCATCCGTATAAACGACCAGCCATATAAACTACCATCCGTATAAACTACCATCCGTATAAACTACCAGCCATATAAACTAGAGTGCCACTCATCACAGTCAATAAGCGTTTATCAACGAACATCCGACAAAGCAAATTTGTCAGTCATTAAATGTTAAGTTTATCATGCGACTGAACAAATTTATGCAGTTAAGCGAGATCAATACATCGCTCAATACAACAACAGCGGTCAACAGAACAACAGCGGTCAATACAAAAGCATCGGTCAATACAATAACAACAGCGGTCAATACAGCAACAGTCAAAGTCCCAGCTGTGTCTGGGTACAAGTGACAGGATGAACAACCCAGCGGGTTTTCTTCCTTTTGGGGAGTGTTTACATGTTGCTATGGCGGTGTGTCCACTCACAGGATGAGTGGCGGTGCCCAATACTGTCACTATGGCGGTGTGTCCACTCACAGGATGAGTGGCGCTGCCCAATACTGTCACTATGGCGGTGTGTCCACTCACATGATGAGTGGCGCTGCCCAATACTGTCACTATGGCGGTGTGTCCACTCACATGATGAGTGGCGCTGCCCAATACTGTCACTATGGCGGTGTGTCCACTCACATGATGAGTGGCGCTGCCCATACTGTCACTATGGCGGTGTGTCCACTCACATGATGAGTGGCGCTGCCCAATACTGTCACTATGGCGGTGTGTCCACTCACATGATGAGTGGCGCTGCCCAATACTGTCACTATGGCGGTGTGTCCACTCACAAGATGAGTGACGCTGCCCAATACTGTCACTATGGCGGTGTGTCCACTCACAAGATGAGTGACGCTGCCCAATACTGTCACTATGGCGGTGTGTCTACTCACAAGACGAATGGCGCTGCCCAATAAAAAGGTAGCGCTGCCCGCTGCCCGAGCGCTGCCCAGCGTTGCTCCGAGGGCAGCGCTGCCCGCTGCCCTCGGAGCAAAATTTAACAATTTAAATTTAACAACAGTCAAGGTCGTTCTGGAAAGTTAATTACCACGTCAATAACTACCCAGGACAATAATACAAATACGTGGTAATTACAGTAATATATTCACCGTAACCGGTGTTCATGATATACGAAGCCTTCTCAACCGGCTGTCTACAGACATCCTCGGAAAAGAGGAATGTGATCCGGAATGTGGGGGGGGGGAGGGAGGGGGGGGGGAGATGCAACCTGGGAATACGGATTAGGAACGGTAGGATTGGCCTTAATCGCGGGTCGGGGGAACTTGGCTAATTGGTCGAGGGCGCGGGTTGAGGATTGGGTCGAGGTGGGATTGGTTGAGGGCGGGGGCTGAGGATTGGGTCGAGGTGGGATTGGTCGAGGGCATCGTCGGTGGATTGGTACGGAATGGGATTGGAAATCACAGCGTAAACAATAACATTATCAGATGATAATGTTATTGTTAAATACCTCCTCCCCTCATTATCAGATGAGGGGAGGAGGTAGAAAATTTAATATTACGTTAAAGAATGAGAGAGAGAGAGAGAGAGAGAGAGAGAGAGAGAGAGAGAGAGAGAGAGAGAGAGAGAGAGAGAGAGAGAGAGAGAGAGAGAACGTAACATCACAGATAACAAAATTTAAATTATTTAATAATAATAATAAAAATAATAATCCATATCAATAAAATGCCATTTAAACTTAGGCTACACCACCACTACAAGCACCACCACAGCAAGCACCACCACAACAACTGGCCGTGAACAATGACTAACCACACCAACTCAACTCAAGTCACATAGCAATATATTTTCCGTAAAGTCAGCGACGACGATACTGTGAGAACCAATGATAACCAGGTCACATAATTACGGCCGCCTGATTGGTCTGTGAGCCTTCACCTGCTTATCATCCTCGGTGGGGGGGGAGGGGGGGGAGAGAAACGAAATTAGGTCCAAATCAAGGAAGTGGCGTATTATTTCCTCTCTCACGTATAACAAATGTATACAATATGTATAGAAATATGTGTGTGGTATGTATACCAGTATAACTCCTGTTGTAGGGGGACAGGAAGCCGTATATGGTCCCTCTACTCGATCCAACTACTGATCTTTCCCAGGATGAAGCCGACAACAGCTCTGCCCTTACTCCCGGGTACCTATTTAATGCTAGGTGAACAGAAACATCAGGTGAAAGGAGCTTTCCTAACCATTGCTGTCTTCACCCCGGGGGATCGAATCTGGGTCCCTCGATTATGAGTCGAGAACGTAGACCACTGTGCTACAGGACCCACCTGGGTGGTATACGGCACTGATTACAACAGCCACCAGTGTGGCTAGTGAATGGTTGGGTGACCACGCGGACCTAAAGCTATGGAATGGGAGAGAGGGCTCTCTCGATAAGCCTAATATGAGGTGTCCCTGTGGTACGTGGTGATGGGGGGGGGGGAGGCTTGTGGTAGACGGTGAGGGGGGGCCCTTGTGGTAGACCGTGGGGGGGGGGGCTTGTGGTAGACGGAGCCACATCTTTTGTTTGTGTAGTAAAGCATTGTTCAGCAGGAGCAGGTGAACGTGAGGCTGTGACGGAGGCTTCTTATACAGCCGGTTGTCCCGCGGTGATCTCAAGCCCTTTGAAAGGGGTGACACTCCACCCCCTCCTCCCCTGCACCGAGCTGGGAGTGACACTCCTCCCCAGCACCGTGCTGGGGGGCGAGATTCACGAAGCAGTTACGCAAGCACTTACGAACGTGTACATCTTTCCTCAATTTTTGACGGCTTTGGTTACACTTATTAAACAGTTAATGAGCTCCAAAGCACCAGGAGGCTGTTTATAACAACTACCACAGTTGATTAGGAGGTTTTTCACGCTTGTAAACTGTTTAATAAATGTAACCAAAGCCGTCAAAGATTGAGGAAAGATGTACAGGTTCGTAAGTACTTGCGTAAATGCTTCGTGAATCTGGTCCCAGAAGAGAGTGTATTAATTCGTAATGAGGAGAGTTTGGCCATATGGATTTTGGTAATAACTCCCGTGTTCGGACTGTGGGACACGGTCGGATAAACGAGGCGAATTAACAAGCCTCGAGCCTACATATAACTGTATTTCGCAAACTAGTTACCCGTTTTTTCTGACTGCCCATCCAACAAACCGCATAAATGGTGACAAGCAATATTAGAAAAACTGTCAAAATCAGCTTCTTGTAACACGGGTTGAGTGAACTAAGTATTTATGCTTCAGGGCAGCCGTGAACATGTTGATTATGATGTAGGCTTCATGAGCTCTGCAAATATCTTGACATTTATATTATATATATATATATATATATATATATATATATATATATATATATATATATATATTAGTCTATACGTCTCACATTTACGATATGTATCCTATCGATTTTCCATAATTGGCACCGTACGTGTAAACACATAAAATGGCTAGCAATATGTGTTTAAATACACATTTTAAGGTCACACTTAACCTCAGCAACAAAACAACATTTGATCTATCCTTTACGTTTTCCCATCTAATATTTTTTAGTACCACTGATTCATCACAAATCAATGCCGAAAGTAAATTATTCAAATACAATAATGGTTAATTTATTAAAACCGCAACAAACTTTTAAGATCGATAGTGCTATTTCTATATCATGTTTGAAAGCAGTATAACAATATGCTTTACAATAATAGCAATACTCTGAAAGCGCATCATGCGTGGACTTAAATGTGGTTTATCTCTAAAAGATGATGATAAGATTCAAAATGTTCCCCCGAGGAGGCATCGGTAACAGACGGCTGGACCTCAATAGGAGGCGGGGGAAATGGAGTCACCAATTAGGGCCGTTCCCGCGCGCGCGATCCCCGGTGGCGGGCCCATCTTCTGAACACCCTGTGTCCTTTCTTACCTTTAGAATATTCAAAATAATCAAAATATACTCAAAATATAAAAAAAATATGATTCCACTGAATTCTGGTTGAGACCAGAAGCGTCAATGGCGTCCTTTAGAAAAATTCAGATAAAAAGAAGTGTGAATGCGGTACCTGTGGGGGTGCTGGCCACCCGCCGGGCCGGCACCTTCTGGCGCCAAAACTCATGGAAAATGCCCAAGTGGTAAAATTATCAATAAAGCCGGTCAAAGAGTGCTAGAGACTTCGCTGCTGAAGTACAGTGTGTGATGAACGTTTGCAGGATTAGGATCTGATTATGTACTTTCAACCCCGCCCGACTGATTTATTTATACAGCGATCAACTTCCTTTGTTTAATAAACCAACTGCGGATTCCGAGATCGCGTAGATCACGTAAATTTTTAGATTCAAAGTAAATGGAATCTGTTTAATCATGCTTAGGCACAAGAAGATGTTTATAAAATAAATTTATGTAGTAAAGTGAAGTAATTACTTAAAATCACATTTCAATTTTTGTTTCCAGTTGAGTATTTATGTATGTATGTATATATATATATATATATATATATATATATATATATATATATATATATAATATATATATATATATATATATATATATATATATATATATATATATTGTTTATGGATTTCTACCTTCGTTGCCCTGGTAATGTAGCGACTCGCTGTTTATATGAGCACAACCTACGCATTAATTATTGGCCACAGGCGTACATTAATCCCGTCAGTACAGCGGTAGACACCTGCATCATTTACTAACTGTTATCATCATCCCACACCTCCATGAATATAAACACCTTATCGATTTACCCTTCCACATGTGTTTCGGATGTTAGCGTACCTTTCTGCCCATTAACTTGCACCTATCTAGTGCCACAGGTGTTTAACATGTCTCGCTGACACTCTAAGATGCAAGGTGTCTTAGAGAGTGTCAGCGGTGTCTAAGATATCTAAGATGTTCCTCTCTCTCTCCTACAGGTGTGGGTTGACGCTGCCACACAGATATTCTTCAGTCTGGGACCAGGCTTTGGGGTGCTCCTCGCCTTCGCCTCCTACAACAAGTTCCATAATAACGTCTACAAGTCTGTTTAATTCTTTGTAGTTGGTCTTATCATGTCCAGTAAACCGTACAGTTAATCTCTTCAGGTCAAACAGTATAGTAGTTCGTCTGGTTATTTAGCCCAAGAAGTTGGTCTGGTCAAGGGGGCCCTAGCTAATTAGATCAGGTAGCCTAAGTAGCTTTTCCAGTTAGGAAGCTCAAATAACTAGTCCGATCAGACCAAAATACCTGATGTGAACAGATCAAAGTACTTGGTGTGATCAGATTCAGTAGCCCTTACATTCACAAATAGTCTGAACAGACCCCGTGATCCTTGTGAACGTAATTTGATCAGATTTAATAGCAAATGTAGGTGGTTTGGCCAGTTTGATCCCATAATCAACTGTAGTCTATTCCCATTGGTCAAGTTTTAACAGCATAGAGCTTCTCTGGTAATACGGTTTGTGTGTGTACAAAGAAACATTGTCTGTAATGTTGAAACTAGTTGAAGTAAAGGTATATATTGTAAATTACGTGTGATTTTATTTTATACACACACACACACACACACCCTCTCCCCCCTCTTCCCCCCCTCTCTCTCTCTCTCTCTCTCTCTCTCTCTCTCTCTCTCTCTCTCTCTCTCTCTCTCTCTCTCTCTCTCTCTCTCTCTCTCTCTCCTCTCTCTCTCTCTCTCTCCTCTCCTCTCTCTCTCTCTCTCTCTCTCTCTCACACACACACACACACACACACAACATGCTACCAATCCCTCTCTGTCTGTCACCTACACACACCTCCTCTTCCCCTTCCAGGGACGCCATGGCCACCAGCCTAATCAACTGCTGCACCAGCTTCGTGTCCGGGTTCGTCATTTTCTCTGTGTTGGGGTACATGAGCCACAAGAGCGGCAAGCCCATCAACGAGGTCGTGGACGAGGGCCCTGGCCTGGTCTTCGTCGTGTACCCCGAGGCCATCGCCACCATGCCCGGCTCCACCTTCTGGGCCATCATCTTCTTCATGATGCTTCTCACTCTGGGCCTCGACTCCTCCGTCAGTAGCTCTGGCGTTGGCTTCATGGGGGTTGGGTGAGGGAATGTGAAGAGGCAGGTGGTGTCTTAGAGAGCAGTGGGTGGGGCTTATGTAGAATTCAAATGATGGTAATTGCAGGTTAAAGAAGTGCTTATGCGAGTCTCAAGTGAGGTATTTCCTTCCACCCAGTGTCACTGTTCTGATGGTAGTAAAAATAGGTACCCGGAAGTAAATCGACGAGGGTTGCATCCTGGGCAAGGTCATTGGTAGGTCTAAATGAACCTTGATATGCTTCCTGCCCCCCCCCCCCTCCCCAATCATGGGAAAGAAACATATTTTAGGTTTAGAAGAGTCCTAATTGGTAATTTCTAGGTTGTCCATAATGTATATTTACTTGTGAGTTAATTCATACATAATAAACATCAGTATGAATACATGATTGAGCATAGGAATATTTCAATCAACACGTCTACTCAACACATTTGGAGCTTGCACACTCGTATACATATAAGTGTTGTGTAATTTGAATTTGCAATAAGGTGTTGTTGCAAGCGAAAGTTGGTCATGCCAGTGACGGGTGATGCCCGGGCTCCGTCCACAGTTCGGGGGGTCGGAGGCCGTCATCACCGCCCTCAGCGATGAGTTCCCCGTCATCGGCCGTAACCGCAAGGTCTTCGTCGCTGTCCTCTTCACCGTCGACTTCTTAGTCGGGCTCACCTGCTGCACACAGGTGGGTGGTGGTGGTGTAGACAGGTGGGTGGTGGTGTAGACAGGTGGGTGGTGGTGGTGTAGACAGGTGGGTGGTGGTGTAGACAGGTGGGTGGTGGTGTAGACAGGTGGGTGGTGGTGGTGTAGACAGGTGGGTGGACGGGTTTAGTAACCCCTCAGAACGGGTTTAGTAACAGAAATGTCCCCTCAGAACGGGTTTACTAACAGTAATGTCCCTCAGAACGGGGTTACTGACAGTAATGTCCCCTCAGATTGGGTTACTAACAGTATTGTCCCCACAGGACGGGTTTACTAACAGTAATATCCCTTTAGGGCGGGTTTAATAATACCAACATCTCCTTAGGTTTGGTTTACTAACAGTAATGTTCCCTCAGGGCGGATTCTATGTGTTCTCCGTGCTGGACCGCTACGCTGCTGGCTACTCTATTCTGTTCGCAGTGTTTTGTGAAGCCATAGCGGTCTCCTGGATTTATGGTGAGTATGTGCGTAGAGTTGTATTTGGCAACACGCATAATAATATGTCATTCTGCCAACCCGGGGAACTGCCAAATGCTGTACAGAGAGAGAGAGAGAGAGAGAGAGAGAGAGAGAGAGAGAGAGAGAGAGAGAGAGAGAGAGAGAGAGACAGAGAGAGACAGAGAGAGACAGAGAGAGACAGAGAGACAGTGAGACAGAGAGACAGAGAGACAGAGAGACAGAGAGAGACAGAGAGAGAGAGAGAGAGAGAGAGAGAGAGAGAGAGAGAGAGAGAGAGAGAGAGAGAGAGAGAGAGAGAGAGAGAGAGAGAGAGAGAGAGAGAGAGAGAGAGAGAGAGAGAGAGAGAGAGAGAGAGAGAGAGAGAGAGAGAGAGAGAGAGAGAGAGAGAGAGAGAGAGAGAGAGAGACGGAGAGACAGAGAGACAGAGAGACAGAGAGAGTTTTAGACTTTGTCAGGGAAAAGAATTTTTTTTTCTCATTTCTTGGCGACGTCACGTAGGAAGCAGTGATGTTTTGCTGGTGACATCACTTATGACGTCTTGCTGACGCCAGCCAAAGGCCGTTGCCTCTCTTAATTGGTGCAAGTCGTCAACAAGGTGGTGGATGATAACTACGTCCAGATTTAATAACAAATATAAAAAGATAACAAGATCAGAGGGATTACCGAGAGTAACGAGGAGGGTCCCAAGAGTTGAAACTCGCTTCCAGGAGACCCAAGTACTTAGGTACAACTAGGTAACACCATCAACAAACATAAAAACAGCGGCTGGCTGAAACATTATAAGTTAATCACAAACGAAAAAGGAACCCAAACTAAGACCCCCAAAAAATTTCCGTAAGGAATAAAATGGTAAGAGTGAGGGAGAGAGAGAGAATGGTGGCGCTATGACAATGGGTGGGGAGTGGGAGGTCGATATGTACCAGATAGGACAAACTCCTCTTCCTGCCCCGTCTACCAGAAAGAGTGAGGGGAGAGCGGGGAGAAATCCGCAATCACGGATGCGGGAAGAAACTGTGGTATCACGCATTCGGGCAAAAATTCTGGGATCACGCATTCAGGCAGAAACTCTAGCGTCATTGATAGCTATAGGCAAAACAGCGTGTGGATGCTGGGTTGAGAAGATAAGATGTAATCAATAGCAGCAAGAAAATCTGATCCACGGGAGATTGTAACATAATTCAGTTAACAAATGATGAAACTCAGGTACTAAAATAAAACACAAAAGAGATCTGGCCAGCTAGCGGAGTACAATAGTTGAGAGGGAGAAAAGGAACGAGAGGGGAGAGAGAGACGGAGATATGAAGGGAGGGAAGGAAGGAGAGAAGGATTGTGTGGGGAGGGAGGGAGGGAAGGAGAGAGGGAGTGTGTGGGGGGAGGGAGTAAAGGTTCTCTGATATACTGGAAGGAGGTTTAACTTCAGTGACGCATGGCTAGGTCCGCGGTCACCCCCCTAACATCATATTGAAGCAAATAAACGCCAGAGGGGGATATACGCACACCCCAAAATTTCCCTCATTAACTGGTTTATTAGAAAAGCTGCTGGAATATATATCAGGAGAAGAGAGAGCGAGAGAGGAACAGAAGGAAGAAATACTAGAGAGTACCTAGCTAAATAAATATACGAGCGAAACAAAGGGACGCTAAGATAGTGGTGAATGTCGTTGTCCCAGCCTAAATTTTATCATATGTGTGTGTGTGTGTGTGTGTGTGTGTGTGTGTGTGTGTGTGTGTGTGTGTGTGTGTGTGTGTGTGTGTGTGTGTGTGTGTGTGTGTGTGTGTGTGTGTGTGTGTGTGTGTGTGTGTGTGTAATTACCTAAGTGTAGTTACAGGATGAGCGCCATGCTCGTGGTGTCCTGCATTTATGTTGACCAAACCACACACTAGAAATTGAAAATACGACGACGTTTCGGTCCGTCCTAGACTATTTGATCAAGTCGATTGTGAAGAGAAGAAGGAAGCAAGGGCAATAAATGCCCTTGTCGTCTCTTTAATTTCTAGTGTGTGGTTTGGTCAACATTTTTCAGCCACTTTATTATGGCACTTCATCTGCTTAATGCATTTATGTTTTGTTAGCTGCCTGTGGAATGATTGTGTATGAAAAGTTGTTTTACAAACTAAATTAAAGATAGCGTGTATTTCGCCTAGGAATGCTTGGACAGGTTAGGTTAGGTTCTTTACTTACTCTTTCATGTTATGAGAAATGTATGAGCTAATTGAAAAATACAAAACGTGAACCTTTTTGGGCCCAACAGTCCATTTATGTACGTCTGACCATAATTAGTTGCTGTAAATACAATCATTTCAGGAGGCAATCATTTCTGGGAGGTAAATTTCTAAGCCGTATAAAGATACCATTCGCAATTAAGGTACCAACAAAGCTAAGCGTTGCATATCAACAAAAACAAATGTCAAAGATATGGGAAGAGTTTACCTAGCCTTCCTAATTCAAGAAATATCACATATTGTGACTTAAAAGTTGAACCAAAGAACATATTACGTGTGAGGAAGCAGCGATGAGTTGTAACTAACCCCTAGCCATCCCCTCCACAGGCATAGAAAGGCTGCAAGAGGACATCCGGGAGATGATAGGCTTCGCCCCAGGCATCTACTGGAGGACCTGCCTCAAATTCTGCGCACCTGCGTTTATCGGAGTGAGTTGTGGAGGACGACTGGCACTCTTTCAAATGGCATTGCGCCACTCGTTTATAAATATGGTATCACTCCACACATGTAGTCTTAAAGAGAAACAGGTTCCCATAATCACTCATACTCATCAGCTCACCTGCCACACCCAATAACACTCATCAACACATCTCCCATATCCCCACTTACACTCATCAGCACACCTCTTAATCCATCTACAGTCATCAGGGAACCCTGTCTCACCCCATCACCTCATATACACAACACATCCCTACGAGTGTAAACACATTTACCCGCGACCACCATCAAACAAAACTTCACCTGCAAACAACACCTGTTAAAGAACAATTCTACAAGGGCCGTGATGAGGGTTCGAACCTACGTCCTGGATGATCCAAGACGCGCCTTAGTGGATTGCGCCCCGACATGGTCAAAACAATTGCAACCGGGAGTGCTACTGCCGGTTGTAGCATCACGGACCTTGTGGATTTGCTCATTTGATGTATCACGCTATTGTAATTTCTGTATGTATTGTAACACCTGTTAAACATGACGATCCTGTTAAACCTGTTTAGCTAAACAGGTTAACAGGAACCTGACGATCCTGTTAAACACCTGTTAAACATGTTTGGCTACTCCTAAGAGCTGCCCGTGACCCCAACACCTGCCCGCAGATCATCATTGTGTATGGCCTCATCAACTACAAACCGCTGTCTGCCTCCGACCCAGAAGCCTTCCCCTGGTGGACAGATGTCATAGGTTGGCTTATGGCTGGCTCCTCCATGATCATGATCCCCTTCGTCGCTATTTATAAAATTATCGAGGTTCCGGGTCCTGCTTCGCTACCCAAGGTAAGTCTTCTACTGACGTAGTGTTTCTTTTTTTTCTAGGATGAATACGTTAATAAAAGGACGCTCGTCCTGGCAAGTTACAGGTGGATAATGCACAGTTTCATGTTGCACAAGTGACGGGTGGATAATGTTGTGTAATTTCATGTTGCACAAGTGACGGGTGGATAATGTGTAATTTCATGTAGCACAAGTAAGTTCTAGATGGATAATATCGCATGATCCACGAGGCAGACGATATATGTGTATTACTGGTAAGCAACAGGTAAAATATGCCATTATCGTCATCCGAGACGCGCTAATAGGCTACTTATTTCCAGTTTGATTTTAATATGATGAAAAAATAACTAGTTTTAGTTATATACGTACAAACATTTGTGGACAATGTTGATTTGAGTACGCTGATACCTTCCCCAGCGGCTGAAGATCCTGACGACTCCGTGGAGGGACCAGCAGGTGTCCGTAGGCAACGGTGTCAGAGCCGAGACTAACCAGATCATCCTCAACTCAGAGACTCCGGCTCCTGATCAAGTGTAGTTCCTGTTTAAATCTGAGAGAAAACAAAATTTATAGAATGATGACAAAATTTCTTAGCAAATGTAACACAAGGGTTGTAGGTCCATTGTCAAATTAGTGTTGCAGAGTTTGTTTTAGGCCTAATAAATACAAAAAAAAACGGACACAGGAAAAATATGAACCAGGACGTGAATTTGTTTTCAAGTTATGGTGCCGTAGACACTGCATATTGTCAAGGGGAGCAGCAGATTTGCACAATATTGCAGAAAGATTTACATACTGGTAGACAAGGTGTTCCTTACTTAACACATTCTTTACCGACAGTGGTTTAGGGGGAAGATTATATCTGGATTGATGAAGGTCATGTTTTGTTTTAGATAGTAATGAATAGAGGCACTAATTTATACTTGATATATGTAAGCCTAGTAAATCTAGTCTATGGCACTATAGCGCATGACTTTAACAATCTATAACACGGGGACAAAGCCTCACCAAGCATTTCTTAATCTGGCGCAGAATAGTAATCATCCAACGTTGTTTAAATCTAGCGTAGGGAAAGATAGAATACTAGAATTTTATGTATTCTAAACTGTTGTCGGTGTGTTCATCCGTGTTTTGTCTCCTGGCAAGTAACTATGCCACAATCTGTTCCTGGCATCTTATAAGACAGTTGATGACCTTGTCTAATTTCTAAAATCTTCTTTCGATATTCTTAACTACTGTTTTTCGACGTTTTATTTAAATTTTTAAATCGTACTTCGTCATAGCACTTATTTAACCCCAGATTCTGAGATGGGAGTAGTTTTTCAAGACTTGTATCTTGACAATATTGATCTTGTGAGCTGACCTACAGGTGCTTGATAAGTCACAAAATCCAGGCAACGAATCTAGACAGCACTGGGAACTGATACAGGCGGATTACCGACGCTGGCTTCTATCAATGAAACATAACCACGTTCCAAATGAGGAGCTTGGCCCTTGTCACCAGTTCCTATGTAACTAGATTTTCATTATTCTGTTAAATTGTGTATGCATGTGCTTCCATTGGCAAGTGTTTTGTGCATCAACACGGCTCTGTGCACATGTCAACATTGGTATGTGTACTATATCAACACTGCCCCGTGTACTATGTCAACATATGGCCTGTTTACTAATGTCAACACTGGTCTGTGTACAAGTAGAGCTTAATATGGATAATACAAGTCAACTGAGGTTCTCTGTCCTTTCCTGTAGCTGCCCTTGCTAACGTCTGTTCAAAAACATACACTTAATTTAGTTTATCGTACATGTCACCCTTTACATAAGGTACACGTGAGTGAATTGTCAGGATGACAGCAAAACACTATGGAGAAGATTCCTTTTTCGTGCTTTATCGATGAATAAAAAACTTTAAATGATGTCAAAATTGCTTGTTATATGGTGTTAGTAGTTAGTTCAGCTTTGTGCTAGTCCTTGTTGAACAGTTGTTACTCGGCTCTTGATCAACAGTAGAACAGTCACACTAGGTTCTTAGTATCCGTGTTGTTCACTAATCAGGTCTGCCAAATAATGTTTTCATGTTGTATTCTAGCAAGCACAGTAACTTCGCCCAGAATACTGCATGCTTGACTAGAATTCTGGGTGGTCAAAATGTTTCATAACGAAGATGGTGAGCAGTTGGTAATGTTTTGAAAGGCATTTTAGAATCGCTTAAACAAGAATTACCTCATGTTAATTTATAGAAAACACATTTCAAGTGAATAATATCTACACTATAAGGCCAGAGTAAGCGGCGTGTTGTACATATATATATTTATTAATGTTGAATTTGTTAGGCACTGCATATTCTATCCCAGGTCTGTGTAATATAATTATATTTGTTGTGACAGTATATGTGAGTGCGTAAATAATTATTTTATAGTAATTAAGGAATGGTACTCATACATATATTTATTGAATACTTTCGTCTTGTAATGTTTGTTCTGGATCTTAGTTGTGAATGATATCCATTACGATACAAAATACTGTATCGCCCATGATAAAATTAATGAATAATTTAAGGCACTGGCAAAGCTGAAAGCATTAATAAAATGATTATAATTGTAAACATGGTGGAAATTATATTTATATTCCACTGTATCAGGAGATATGAGTCGTCTGTTGGTCCAGCTCTGCCAGACCTAGCATTATCTCTATGCATTGAGAGGACATGTTTCTGCCATATTGACTGTATAAATATTGTACGTAATTTTCAATGATTCTCAAATATTAAATGCGGAGTTATTACCGGTAAAACGTGTATATTTTAATAATGCTGTTGTAATGAGTGTACGTATTCTTGTACACACACACACACACACACACACACACACACACACACACACACACACACACACACACACACACACACACACACACACACACACACACACACACACACACACACACACACACACACACACACATACACACACACACCCACACACACACACACACACACACACACACACACACACACACACACACACACACACACACACACACACACACACACACACACGCGCACACGCACACGCACACGCACACACACACACACACACACACACACACACACACACACACTATAACACATACACACATGTTATGTATATGTAATATTAATTTTAAAATGTAATTGACTGCATAAAGGACCATATAATTAGAAAAGCTTAGTAATATTTATAAGAGTATGAACATTGTTACACGGTTTGGCTGGGTTCTCAACCGCTCTTTAATACGTACCTCTCAGCTCTGGAAGCCAGAGGAACAATATACTTTTGTACAGAAAATAAAAATTGATGTTGATGGCATGTTTGTAGATCTAGTTGCTCTTTTGATGTAAATATGCATAGAATATACGTTTATCGTGTATTAGATAGGACGCAACTCAATATAAAGACATAGGGCGTTGACGGGGTTAGGTGACTAGGCTACACATTGCTGTATTCATGGAATATGTAGAAACTTATTACATTTGTGTGATGTAAACTGGAAGGTTAGACAGTTTATGTAACTTGATAGAGCGTGCTTATATTGGCTTAAAGCCTGCACATGCTAGGCTTAGTGACAATGAATCACAGATATTGGTCACTCTTGAATCCCTTAGTCTAGTCCTATTGAGACCAAAATTAAATGTCCTATCAGGATCTGGGTAATTCTTTGTTTGTTTTCTTTGAAAATGAAAGACATGTTTAGTTTATAAACCACGAGCATTTTCGGGTTTTGTTCCGTCTGGTGTTTACAACAGGGTAAAGGATGCTTATGTACACAGTGTATATGCTCAGTTGAACTTCATGGTGTACATATGTAACGTTGCGTACAATAAAGTATCTGGATTTTATAAGGTGTAGTGTGGTGTTGGCCTATATAAGTGCCTGTCTCCTGTTAGTTTACGTTAAATGTACTATGGCATACCGCAGGCCTGAAGTGGGTGCCCAGCCCGAACCTTCGCTCCGTGAGCAGTCAAGTTCTTCTTTTCCTAAATATGTTTACGTCCTCTTGACAGCTTCGTGAACACTTGTTTGCTATGTATATCCTGGTTAAAACGGCCCGAGTTGAAAGTGTTACCTGGCAGTAATGCTTGTCTGGAATACAGGAAATGCGTGGCGAAGTAGCTATAGTTCATTCATTGTTAAGAATAAGGTATAAGCAGAGTTTTATACAACTCAAGCACCTACATCAGTGTTTGTGAGTTGAAATGTTGACCTTTTTCACAGCACATATTTTCACCGAAGTTGATCGATATTTAAGTCGATTTTCTATATAGTTTATAACTTGGAAAAAAAAATATTTCATTCTGTTCATTTGTAAGTGTAATTCTAAAACATATGAAAACGCATAATATTTATTATGTCGTAAGACAGATTTTGAATAATGTCACTAGCGCATGTGTATTTATGAGAAATATGCTAAACACAGCCATTGGCATATTTCAAGCGTGCTTGTAGGAATGTTGTTTGTAAGGTTCAGTGTATATATAGACTTTAGCGGTCACATTGTTCTCGTTAAAACGTGTTTTTTTTCCGAAGATTTATTCTTATTTTTAGAGTAACAGTTTATGGAGAATATCTTTGGTTGATTTCTGACGACAGCATCAATGGTACCACAACAAGCATTATGCTGCATCAGCAGTCAAACGAGGACAAAGATATATATAAATATATAAATTTATATATTTATATATATATTTATATATATATTTATATATATATATTAAATATTTATATATTTATTTCTATATCTCATAAATTATTGGTAATCTCGGACATACTGTTAGCTATTAGAGTGAAGTTTAGGTTTAGATTGTCTTGGTACAAACAAAGCCTTTTATAAAGACTTTCGAGCCTTTGTGATCGAGAGTCGAGAGCAGCCATACAGAAGGGTTTGTTGAGTGCCTCACAGCACACCCCACCGCTACGCTTACCGGGTAATATCCACCGCATCCTCTCATTACCTTTCACGCTCTTGCCAGGTTCCCCCCTCACATAAAGGTTTAGTACACTAAAGTAAAGGTTCTCCCTTTTTAAAGCTTGAATAACATACTTCCTAACGAAGACAATTATGATACAGTGTTCTAAATGATGAAAATAAGATACTATTCCATACCACACCTTGATAAAAAGACTTTTAATGTCTCATGTATATATATTAGAATGCAACATTAGTACTGGTAAAGCAGAAAGGTAGTGGATGCGTACATACACAGCCTGGTACATTGCTCGTACCCACCTCGTGGTGTAGTCATTGTTCATTGTTCAGATTGTTCAGATCACATAACCATGATAACCATGGCGCGGTGTAAGCTGGGGTGTCGCAAAGACAAATTAAATACTGTGCATCCACAATTGTTATATCTAGTCTTTATACACGAAGGCTATTTCTTTGTTAACATTCGATTTTTTTAATATTTATGAGTATTCAGAATCAATCACGTGACTGTTAGATTTTGTGCTGGTAACTAACTGATGGTGTGTTAACTTTGACTTGCACCACTCGTATACCATGATTGTATATTAACAAAAATATCAGTAGATCTTAGCTGGAATATTAAATACTTAACATTTATAAACGGTATCTTTAAAATATTAATTCATTACTAAGCAAACAAAAATAGGTACAGTATCTGAAACTGTAATTTGCAGAAAAATCTTTAAGTAAAAAATTGTATACAACTATGCTATAATAAGTAAACGATGCCATAATATTTTCTCATTTCAAATTTAGCATGCCGCAAGATTAGATCATGAGAACAAATTTATAGTGTCTGGTATATATTATAGCCTCTAAGTCACGTGGAATCTGGTGACTTAGGTCAGTTATACAGGTCAGGTAGTGAGTCAAATTATCATTGTCAGGAATGGTCATAATCCATCACAATTTTGTGATGGATTTATTGATCACAAATCTACTTTCTGCATTTTATATTTTCGTTTTAAGTCGAACTAGCCACTGAATTTACTTGCATTTGTCTTTTATAAAAGTCAACATACGTCCAACAGAAAACATTAAGTTTATTTTATGTAACTTATTTGTATTTTGATAATTTAATACAGTTAAATAATTATTGTTTTGAATGTAAAAGAAATACTTGCCATAACATATTTGTTTATCTGTGATATTATTTATAATATTAAAAGTAAGTTACCAGCACTATCACTAACGACTATATGATATACAACTCTCTTTTCGCTTGATGGTTTACACATTTCTGTTTTTTGTTAAGTTGTTCCAACAGAAAATAAAAGTGACATTAATCTAATTATACGCTAGAGAAACAACAGAACGACTTTCTTCCACCTATGGACGATTTTTTAAAGCATTTATGCTCCTTGGGCAAGATTCGAACTCTGGTCTCGAAGATTCGGAACAAAGGAGCCAGGTGACAAGTTTTAAAACTGTGCAAACGGGATTCCAATCTTGCGCGAATCATAACTGCTTCTATGTAATTTTCCAGCTGTCGGCATATTGTTTATGGCGTTATCGCGAGTTAAGAGACCGTCGACCATAGTCCCATACAGTAGTTTTCCATTCTGGAAGTTCAGAATGTGACGCACATGTTAATCTTTAGGGACAAATTCATGCTGTATATTTATTTATTTTTTATTTAAAAAATATCACATAACTATTAAGCAAATATTTGTAAATGTTGTAATGTCTTGTATGCGCCTCATGTAAACACGATAACAATATTATTATTATTCATCTTCATAATATTATTATTACTATACAACATGAATGTCAATAATCAACTTTGTATGCGTTCTGTGCTTAACTTATGACAAATAGAGAATCTTTCATTATTATTCATTTGTTTGATTTCACACCCAACTTTGTACATCACGTTAACGTGATTTCTTTGTGCATTTGAAGAGAAGCGTAGGAGGTAGAATTCCTGGACTACAGACCGGAATTGACCTTTCACGTGTTGAGGTCAACATGTGAAACCCAGATTTGGCGTCAGTGTAAGCCTCGGGAACTCCAAGAGGATTCAGTTAAGTCCCAGGTTGCATTGCTTTTTGACCATGTCGTGGTGTAGTGGTCTAAGGCGTTTGCTTGGAAACTTTGGAGAATATTGAGGAGGGGACACCGGGGTCTTTGATGTGGATTATTAACCTGCCTTGGGAGATTCTGACGCCTAACTATATCTAGAACTTTAATATATGATGATATTAATTTATATCTGGGCACAAACCTATTTTAAAAAAATACTTGAAATGCGTCTTGGGGACAGCATTTCATGGTTTTGGCCTGAGAACAGGATGAAATACAAATAATTGCTAGCAGAACTCTATACACCTTACCTAACCTAAGCTACGCCTAAATATACACAATATGCTAATATATATATACAGGGTATATATATATATATATATATATATATATATATATATATATATATATATATATATATATATATATTATATATATATATATATATATATATATATATATATATATATATATATATATATATATATATATATAATAATATATATATATATATATATATATATATATATATATATATATATATATAATAACATTAATTTATATTTGATAAAAATTTTATTCTGAATGAACAACTTGATAAAATTCAAAATTGATAAGTTTTTTTTTTGAGGGGGGGGGAGGTGTCGGTCGTTGGACGGAATGAATATAGCATGAGTACGGACATATACGTCATACTATCAGCAGACAATAGAGCCAGGGTTGGTGGATAAGTCATACTATCAGCAGACAATAGAGCCAGGGTTGGTGGATACGTCATACTATCAGCAGACAATAGAGCCAGGATTGGTGGATACGTCATACTACAAGCAGACAATAGAGCCAGGGTTGGTGGATACGTCATACTATCAGCAGACATTATACAGTAAGAGAGAATTATCCTGTTAGTTGTCTGCTGTAAACAGGTAAGTCAAATACTGACCCTTACATAAAATTTACATTAATTTGTCTTCAAAGTTCGCGTTTGGGTTGTGTTGATGTCTGGAAAACTATGTACATTTAGCCAAGATTCGCCTTACAAGAAGGGAGCCCCATTATGATATATCACTGATAAGCCACATTGCCTTATCTTGCGCTATCTTGGCCACCAACCACAGCTGCGTACAAGATTAGTCCTTCCCTAACCTGTCTAACGTCTATCCGGCTTCAGCTCCACTCCAGACCTTAAAAATCAGAAATAGTGAGTATATTTATTTAAATTCTTCAATGTCCTGTCTACCGTCTACCCGCATTGAACACTGGGCTATCTTATCTACTGTATACCTCTATATTGTCCTCTGCACCCCAAAATTGCTCATGACAACACACTTAAGAGATGTCTCCAGCTGCTTATGTTTGTGTAGACGAGATCAGCCAGGAGGCTAGTGGAACTTCTGACTAGGCTTAATATAGGTCGAACCTGACTAGGCTTGCTGTATGTGGAACCCCTGACTAGGCTTGCTGTATGTGGAACCCCTGACTAGGCTTGCTGTATGTGGAACCCCTGACTAGGCTTGCTGTATGTGGAACCCCTGACTAGGCTTGCTGTATGTGGAACCCCTGACTAGGCTTGCTGTATGTGGAACTTCTGACTAGGCTTAATGTAGGTCGAACCTGACTAGGCTTGCTGTATGTGGCACTTCTGACTAGGTTTAATGTAGATCGAACCTCTAACTAGGCTTGCTGTATGCGGAATCCCTGAATCAGTGACTAGACACAAAAATCATCATAGCAGTGACTCAAGTGAACAAGTGTTATTGCCTAGAGCTGTGAGACTGATATTTGCAAGACGTATAGCATAAAATTAGGACGATGAAAAGATTTAATTTGATGGATAGCTATAGTAATAACAGTTAACCATTGAACAAATCCACAAGGGCCGTGACGAGGATTCGAACCTGCGTCCGGGAGCATCCCAGACACTGCCTTATGTGGATTTGTTCATTTGATGCATCACGTTAGTGTGATCTCTCTGTGTGACAGTTAACCATATCCAAATGGGTCACGTTATCAGCAGAGACAGAATATATTAGACTGACATTAGGCAACAGTCAGGAAGCGTATGTGTCACTAGGAATTCCTTGATAAGGTAATGTATTAGCACTTGGAAGGGTTATTGATAACCGAGTGTGCTTACTAATGATTATTATTTCCCCCCTATCTTCTATAAGGATGAACTTGAAAGAGAAGGCCAGAAGAAAATGGAATTTGGGGTGGTTGAGAGACAGGGAGATGGTGGTGAGAGAAGGAGACGTAGGAGAGGATATAGCCACAGTCAACAATCCTCTCCTCTTCCCCGTTGCTGTCATCGATATCCTGCTGATAGCTACTCTCTGCGCCCTCAACTACTGTCTCAGGTCAGTCACGAGGGGGTGGGGTGGTGGTCTTATCTTTCTTAGTGTATACTGTTGTTCTCATTGTATATCTCTTACTGATTGTATATCTGATTGCATACATGTCTTTCTGACGACATGCTTTATGATTATTTGTGTTTCTGACCTGTATGTCATTATGATGTAATTAAATATTTAAATTCTTATTGTATGAGTATTTTTGTATCTTTCTCTCGTCTCACTTCTCTTTGTAATTATTTTAGTATTTCCTTAAACTGTATCCACAACCAACAAGATTAAAATATCCTCATTAAAATACCCCCTGAGAATCCTTTGCAAGAATTGTAACACCTCTATCACCTGTCTTCTGGAGAAGGTATGACCCCAAGGTGCGTGAGGCGAGCAGCATGGTGAGCTGGGCGGGCGTGAGGCTGCCCTGCACGACACTGCCCACCCTCTCCTACCCTCGCTACACCCCTCTCAACCACACCCTCACTAGCCGTGTGACATTCGCTCTTCCGGACTCTGTTTTCTTCAGCTGCGCCATCGTCGTTCCGTGCTGTTTGGTGAGTAGGGAGTGATGGTCCTTGTTGATGGTGGTGTGTAGGGTTCCGTTGGTGGCGGGGGACAGATGATGGTGTATTGTGAGACCTGATGTTGGGGTGGTGGAGTGTTGGGAGACTTGATGTTGTGGTGGTGGAGTGTTGGGAGACCTGATGTTGTGGTGGTGAAGTGTAAGGAGCGACCTGATCTGAACACAGCTGTCGTGAGACCAGACAATACTCAACTTTGCATGCAGTAACGATGTAAAATTGCCAATACAAAAGCGACCAAATTCACAAAGGAATGTACTAAGATCTGACCTCAATGGTTTCACCCTCAGGTCCTCTTGGTGGAGGGAGTGAGGGCGGTGTTCCCCAGCCGCAGGATCAAGGTGGTGGAGAGCTGTGGGTTCCGTTTTCTCCTTCCAGTCCGTAGGATCCTACGCTTCCTTTGTGAGTAGAAGGGGTACTAACTCGGATAGGCTTACAGGGTCAAATATCGTGAAAACATTAACACGTCTGTTTAAAGTGATTGAGTGACTTAGGCAGTGACTCATGAAGTGACTCAGGCACTGACTCGTGCAAGGTGTATGTGAGAACTAGTTTTAGCAAACCAGGTGACGCCTAAATTTCTGGAGTATATGATCCGTGTGTTTGTGTTTCAGGTAACTTCCTGCTGGGGGGCTCGGCGACTGGGGTGTTGGTGTCGGTGGTGAAGCTGCTGGTGGCGTCCCCGAGGCCCTACCTGCTGGCGGTGTGCAGTCCCAAGGGCAACGAACTCAGCAGCATGTGTCAGCATGACCTCGTCTGGTCGCCCAACACTGTGTGTAGTGGAGACTCTGGTGAGGTACACGAGGCACTTAGAGCCTTTCCCTCCTACCACGCCGCCCTCGCTGTCTACTGGTTAGTCTTGCCTCCCTCTGCCTCACCACCCCAACTCCCACTCTTCTTTTTACCTTACTTTAACTTTCCTTCCCGCCACCCAGCAACCAGCCCCGTCTTCCCCTGGTCAACATAACATTTTGTTTTCAACTTTGTATTTCGTGTTTACTTCAAATTATACACTCGTCCAGTTAAAAGGTAGGCCTCACGGAACCTCTGGGGCCTAATTCATCTGACTTATAGTAGGTCAAGTGAGGGGAAAACTCACGGCAGAGGTATATTTTCCTCTAAATACATACCTAATAGCCTAACCTTGTAGGGAAAGGAAAATTCTGATATATTGTGATTCAGGTAAAATATTGGTTGCCATGGCGATACATTGCGCGCCTTATACACACAAATATGAAAATCCAGGAAACTTCCCTCGATAGATAAAGTGAGGTTAGACCCAGAATTACTTCAGAGGAAGTGTTTTAGTATGAGAGACAAGCAGTACCTAGGCTTAAACCAACTAGTTGATATTCGATAGAAGTTTGGGATCACGTTTTACTAATGATAACGTTGCTTGCAGTGGGATGTGGACGTGGGTGTACTACTCGAGAACTGCCAAGGTTCCTGGCATGTACGGCAGCTCCCTAGTGATGGTAGGCGCAGTCTTAGTCATGACGGCGATTGGCGCCTCTCACGGTAGCCTCACCTACCAGTCATCTTGTACAGACGTCGTCGCAGGCGGGCTCATTGGTGCTGTCTCTGCTCTGTATATGGTTAGTGGCCTTTGCTCTCCACCATTAATCGACCGTACACTGAAGGTCGATAATACCTGTGTATTACATCTTCGTTTCATTTTTGGCGAAAGTTTTGAGAAATTAGTTGCCAACTTTGATATATTTTGATAAATAAAAATAAAACTTCTTACGGTCTAAATATTTTAATTGTGTTTACCCTGCGTACCTATCATCTAGCCCCAAAACGGCCACATCTCTTCTAAGAATATATATAATTTTGTTCTGGACTCTCAGTTTCAGGTTCTTACCAATGCATGCTCCTTGCTCACGTGTTTAATTAGATGCTAGCGACAATCTCTGGGCCAAAAGTGCTATCTTTGATTAAAGAACAACTGGCTGACACACTTCGCATGAATTTAATAATACCTCAAACAAGTATATTGTTTAGATTATAACAAGCACAAAATAGCTCACAAGCACATAATTCCGGTGTTGATGTCCCCGATGTTTTGACGTTAGAGATCACAAACAATACTTCAGACAACATCTCTTCCTCCTTCAGGTGTACGGCGTCCTCAACGGGTTTAAGGAACACAAGTGGCGTATGAAAGTCAAGTCCCTGGCAGGTGTTCCCGACCACCCCAACCTGCTTTCTGTCGCTCCCCTCAAAGGCTCTCCTACGCCAGCCAAACAGGTAAACCACTACACCTGTTAAAGCCAAGGCGAGAACGTTCACAGATGTGCGTGTATTTATATAATGATCGCATTGCTAGCGTTGTTGATCTTATATTATAACCTTTTATGTTTACACTACGCTTGGTGTTGTTTATCAGGATGTCTCAGATGATGATCTGGTTATGTATAAACACTGTTACTTGACAGGACCTTGCTGTTTGTGCAGTATTAGGCACCTTGAAAGGGATGTTGTTGTCTTGTCTATATATTAAGTTTGGGCTGACAGTCCCCAAGTGGGCATGTGAGGACATTCATCTCTTTTAACAGCAGGTGGTGCCGACGAAGGTCTGGGAGAGGAAGTCGAGTCTCGGGGAGGACGACTCCGACGACAGCTTCGGGTACAACAACTTGGCTCTCATCAGCGACGAGTTCCCCTTCATCCCTCGGGCTACCACAGCCGTCAGGGTGGGTATTATCCTGGCGACGTTTAGGAAAACTTGAGAATGACAAAGTTAGGCGGTGTTTGTTTTTTTAATAAAAGAAGATATAACTAATTGTCAGATTTATGTATGTTTAAGATTGTGAATATGATTTCAAAATTGATGTTTTGAACCTTGTGTGTTAGCTTCACGTCTCCTCCCGGAAGGTTCGCAGCAAGCGGTTGGCGTCTGCCAGACCTGCAGCTCAGGCCATCAACTCTACCGTGCTCGCCATCACAGCTCCTCCGCCTCCACCTCCTCCACCTCCCCCTCCTCCTCCTCCTCCTCCACCGCCACCACAACCCAAAGGGCAGCCCCCTAACTACTCCAGGCCATACCCTTCCCCCTGGGCCACTACCGCCGTCGGCCGCTACAACGTCCCCAGGCAGAGGTCAGAGAGCTGAATGTTTTGGGGATGGGTTGCTTTATTTGCACAAATATAAAAATATATATATATATATATATATATATATAATATATATAGTCTCCATTATACCCTAAGCTTCGGCTGGACATGTTTCACTCCCTGATCATAGCGCAAAATACCAGCCCGTCCTCATCAATATTTATTAAATACATGATTCACCAATCCGTTCTCTCAATTTGACACTAAACAATCCAGCAGCTTTGCCCAACCAGAAACGTACGAAACCAGCAACTCACCTAACCTATCGAGGCCGATACATACCAAAAATATGTCAATATTATGGTGCTTGAAATAACTTCTTTCACAGGTACTCGGCGCCTGCCCCGATGCCCACCATCCAGACGTACCATCCGTCGAGGACCCTGCCCCACAGCCATGCCCATACGAACCTCCTCTTCGCCTACCAGACCCACGACTCTGACAACAAGCCTCGGGCCAGGACCGAGACCTCCTCCTACTTTTGATTTCGCGGTTCCTGCGAACTTTATGGCGGGGTTGGTTTTTCAGGGGCTGATTCATCCTCGTGGCTGCTAGAGATATGTAAGCGTGTTATATTAATTCAGGATATATATATTTATTAGGGGGAGTAACTTTATATACATGAACTCCCGTAAGTAGACCTACATTCAAGTATATACAATATGCTAGGCTACAGTCATTCAAGTATATACAATATGCTAGGCTACAGTCATTCAAGTATATACAATATGCTAGGCTACAGTCATTCAAGTATATACAATATGCTAGGCTACAGTCATTCAAGTATATACAATATGCTAGGCTACAGTCATTCAAGTATATACAATATGCTAGGCTACAGTCATTCAAGTATATACAATATGCTAGGCTACAGTCATTCAAGTATATACAATATGCTAGGCTACAGTCATTCAAGTATATACAATATGCTAGGCTACAGTCCCTCTCTCCCCCTCCCCTCCCAGAAACAAACAACGATTGCCTTATATATAAAGTTACTCTTAATTATTTAATTTACCAGTCTGTAATGCTCTGTTATACAGTATGTGACCATAATGATTACAATTCCTTCTTAGTCATTACAGGCACTGCAATATGATCTACTATATATATGCTGTACATGTCTGTAATATTTCACTTGATACTAGTACAAACTTTGCTCTATAATGGGCAGCAAGTTGCTGAACAAATCAACACAGGCGGGTGATGCAGATTTGGCCTCCAATATTGTTCTTATTAGTATGAAATAAATTATTGTTGTTTCTTACCATGTGTCTAATTGTTACCTGAGTTGTCCGTTAGTGGGTGATATTTTAAATCGCGATCAATCATAACGATATTAACGACAGGGAAAGAACACAATAAGGTGAATGCATTTACCACTAAGCAAATTAAAAAGAGAAGAATTAACAAAGGGAAGAGAACTGTCAGGGGAAAGCGCCAAGCGTAGAAATAGCCTAAGCTACTCTATGCCTTTGAGATGTATTTTTTTTCTTGTCTCAATAAACATACTTGAACTTGTCTCCAACTTACTCTCTCTCAACGAAAATCAAATAACAACGTTCCCCATTGCTTAGATTCATTTTCTTTCACATATTTATCACTCGAAACTTTCGCATGGCAGACAAAACGAAAAATTTCACTATACCATTAATCTCTATAAATAGCATAAATTACATTTCTTGTGTTGAATTTAAAAGGTTAAAAACACATAACAAATGTTAAAGATAGCATTCGCTACTTATTTGACATGTTAAGAACCGAGAATTATATGTACGGGCAGCATAAAACATCCACTAGACAATATGACATTGTAATTGCCAGAATTAGGCTGGGATATCGATATCTATGGCAGGTGGCTGCAGGTAATGAATCAATCCCCCAATGGTGAACATTCCAATTGTAAACTATGTGAACAAGAGCTGGGACATACTCTCCAAGGCAGTCACATACTCTGTGACTGCCCTGTTATAAGTGACTTCAGACCAAAGGGTATGAGGTACTTTGAGCTCTGTAATTACTTCATACACTCAAGAATATTGGAAGATATTCTTGTGCTGTACCCAGAATCTGCTAGTCTATGTCCTTAGCCTCTGTTTACCCAACAGTAAAATGGATACCTGGTTGTTAAACGATTTGGCGGGTCTTATTCCGGGGAATATTAGGATTAAGGACGTGCTCGAAACGCAATACATGCTAGTGGCTGTACAAAAATGTAAGAACTCTTGTATACATAAATAACAAAAGATAAAAAATAAAAAATATATATATACTGTACCCACTTTTGTAATTATTCAGTCACGCCTGAAATTGCGATGGGTTTTCTGTGACGGGGTCCGTTTTCTAAGATGCGCGAAAAATGTAAGATATTCTAATTAAAAAATTCAAATGTTTATTCAGGTAAAAATTCATACATAGAAGATGAGTTACAAACATAATGTTGGATTTATAGATAGAGCAAAAAAAAATTTTAGAGCAACAAAAATTCCAAATATGCCATAAAAAATGCCAAGTCCGGCAACAAAATAGTTTACAAATTCCAATGTCTGTCTTTCATTTTTGTAAGTAGGATGATTTTTTGTAAGCCTATTAAGATAACCAAAGACGCCTTTGAACTCTGAAATGTGGGTGTTATTATCCATAGAGTTTTCTCCTACCAAATTTACTGTTTTTAGAGGACGGGCTGGTTTTTATCTACGTTAAATCTGTTATCGGCGTGAATTTTTTACTTAGATATGACCGCTGAATTAGAAGCAAAAACAGCCAAACCAATACTGCAATATATATAATCTATAAAGAATATAATCTACCGGAAATAATAATGAATGGCCTAACTGTCTTTCCTAACCCAGGCACACTACAATAGTGGTTTACTGTATTCGTCAATAGATGGCGCTGTCCTGGCGGCATCGCACCATCTCTGTAGCTGCAGCTTCGAGTCTGTTTATGACCAAACCCGACCGTAGAAAATGGACAGTTTAGAAAGCAAAATAACGATGGTGCTGCTTGCATGGTCGACGTGTGTCTGAACATTAGTGATAACGGCGATAATTTGAGCTTCCCTATCGTCCCTTCAGGCTACTGATAGCACTAGATAATTTGTCTCTAAGCAGTGTTGATGTCGAATCTCTCATGATCTTATAACACTAAAGGTCATTGATGTATTCTTTAGCAGTTTTGCTGCCTGCGGCGGCTGTACTTAACTCATTTCATACTGATCCCAAAAAATTACAGAAAGCATGTACAAGACATTACAAAATATTGATAGAGAGTACAAAGAACTAGCAACTGATTCCGGTTGTTTACAACAATTCAGATAACCAAGATGCAGCTGACAATTTCATCAGTTTGAGCAAATATGTCGATCAGTTTTAATCATTGCATCATTGAATATAAGTGCCATGTACAGGGCATGGCACTTTTAATCCCAAGATGAACTTCTAATCCATGTCAATAGATTTATTTCCCGAGATATATAATAAAAAAGGCTGGTTGTCAAAAGCAGCTTGTAGAACACGAAATAAAAATAACAGACTTTTTCCCACTAATAAAGTGTTCATCTGGCCGCTACAGCGTTGATATCTTCCACTAGGAGGACAGCAGTAGTGATAATAATAATACTGGACATGAAGATAGCAAATGATAATAATATCATAAAGTTTAGTTATAGACTTAAACAAATATAGTTATGTATAGATAGAAGACAAAATAATCATTACGTCAAAGAAAATGACAATGCGTTCAGTGCATGATTCTCAAAAATATAGTAACTGTCCGAAGCAAATTTCACAGTTCCTTCGGTAAGTTTGTAGATGCATTAATAAAGTATAAATGACAATTAAAAACGAAAATATACACAATAATAGCGTATATAGCGTATATTATATATATATATATAAATATATAAATATATATATAAAACGCGTTTTCCTCTGAAGGTAGAGAGCTCGCTAGAACGCAGGTACGATTCATGGGAGGCGAGGTGTGGCAGGGCGGCGGAGTCAGTAGTGAAGGTTGTGTCGTGCGTGGAGGGTGTACGAGGGCCGGCGTCTCTCTGTCTTGAGAGTGACCCACTACAAGTATCCTGGAGATGACCCCGAGATAGTTCTAAATGTGAGGAAACGGAAGACGTGAATTGCTTCTACATCATGTGAGGGATAAAATGCAAACTTATGCTCATGAAAACTATAAAATACTGAAGTCGATGGCTACTTGTAAGTGTTGGATCTCACGACCAGTGTTAAGATAAGATTGAGTGTCGATTATTAATCTGTCGCTGGAAAGTGACTTGAAAACAGCCCGCATTTCTGATGACTTTTACAAGTGACGGAAACAATACCTCGGGATTACAAGGCATACAGGACTTATAGTGAAATGGTTAGTATAAAAACTTGTTATTTTATCTAGGTCGAGAGATTTAATATTAAATACCAACGTATTTAATTACATTTTACGGTTTAAGGAGGTCTTACTGTGACTGCAAGTAACAGTCCTTCACGAGTACATCTTGTATAAACTATATTTAATATTTTAAATGCATCACTGAATACCAGTCAGATCGTGGGAAAATCTCTTAATACATGGGACCAAACAGTTAGGTAATATATTCCAGTTGAGTTAGGGCATCTATTGCATTCCAGATCCCGTAATATGCTATGTTTATTAATTATTTGTAGCGTATAAGATGCGGGGTGACGAATTAGAGATACAGGCAACAGGATTATTTCCTGAACTAAGTTATCTTGTTGACCAGACCACACACGAAATTGAAGAGACGACGACGTTTCGGTCCGTCCTGGACCATTCTCAAGTCGATAAGTTATATTGTTTAAAGCGCTAACAGCTAACTTACGACACACTTGATCCCCCTTGTGAGGAATTAGCTCAGTATTGCGTATCCAATTACCGTACTGTTGTTCTACACAGTATTTAGTGTTGCACCATGTGTTCTTAATTATCCCAACCGCAAGGTTTTCCTGTTGCCTCTTGCCTCCTATATCCCTTACATCCGCGTTCATCCTTTCCGACCCCAACCACTTGGGCTGGACGGTAGAGCGACGGTCTCGCTTCATGCAGGTCAACGTTCAATCCCCGACCGTCCATATGATTGGGCACCATTACCTCCCCCCCCCGTCCCATCCTAAATCCTTATCCCGACCCCTTCCAAGTGCTATTAAAGCTGTAATGGCTTGGCGCTTTCCCCTGACAATTCCCTCCCTCCCTTTCTACCCATCCACTGTACTTGATTGATAAAGATTAAGCCACCCAAGAGGTGGCACGGGCATGAATAGCCCGTAAACCACTGTACTTGTTATCTCAACCCCAACTATTCAGCTTGGACCAATCCTTTGTTGTTAGTGTTATTTTCTGTTCTTTACCGGTCTTCCTTGCTCAAGTCTAACTTGCCTTAGCCTACTGCCAAACCCTTAACTAAATGTAACTCTAAGATGAATTTGATTTCTTGTTGAATTTAGGGTTTATGGATCTTTTAATGAGGTTACTAGCAGCTTACTGACCAACCAGCTATAGTTATACTATACTGACCAAAGTATACTATAGTTATGAAAATAGTTCAGAACTAAAGTAAATTCTGGATATATACCGGAAGGATGTATATATCTTTCTGTGTATATATCCATTGTTGCAAAATTTCAATGCTAAAGAACAACATTAACGTGCCTGCTGCTGACCCCAATTCTCCCTTCCTGCAGTCTGACCTCATACTCAATGGCCAACGTTATATTAGCCGCCAAACCTCCTATTTATGAGTAATAACACTTGACACATAACTAAACTAATTACGTTGGAATTCTTCTTCAACAGTGCTTAGGTCCTCATACATTTACCTATGATAGGTTAGGTTGGGCAAAACGCCCAACCTAACCTATTAGAGGTTTAACTATGAAAACTTGTAATAAATATAATTTATATTCGAGAAAAATACTGATGTGGTTTTTACAGTACGCTAAAATTGACGAAAACGGGTTTTGGGGGATTGGTTAAAGCCTAAATGACCATGGTCTGGGACACCTCTCATCTCGCCGCTCTCTCTCTCTCTCTCTCTCTCTCAAACCATGTAGTATTATGAACAGCTGAAAAATTTTCAATAAACTATAGGGACAACTCAGTTTCGGAAGTCAGATGAGACGCTAAAACGTTCCTCCTTAAATTAGGGCATTGATACTGACCCTCCTATGACTATTCCCAACTACCCTTGTGTCATCATGCAAATTGGGTTAGACTAAACCCAAGTGTTTGGCCTCCAACCTTAGACAGACAGACAGATAGACACGCACTATTTTATGGCTATAGATAGATTCATGGTTATCCAGACTCATTCCAGGATTATTCATTCAAATGAATTTCTTCCGTCTTTTCGTCTACCTCTTGCAAATTTGTTACACTTTGTGTCTGTTTACACCCGTTTATCATCGCATGTCTTAGCAATACATTATTAATATATTAATACACTGATATTGATCATTGCTCATATTTGTGAACATGCGTCTGTCATCCTAGCCCGCCGTAGTTATTTTTTCCTAGAAGCATGGCCGTCTTTGACTGCTTAAAATGCCATTCTTTTTTTTTGTGTATCCATTTCTTCCCTGTCGCTATCTTTGTGTTTGTTGGTTATCCTGCATTTCGCGTTCAGTTGATTCGGTCTATGCCAGTTCCTCCAACTCTGTCCCTCACTTGTTCGAGTCGTGCTAATTAATCCTCATTCTTATGCTGGCATCCTCCAACCCACCCGCTCATTCTTATACTGGCTGACCCACCCCACCCCACATTCTTGTTCAACTAAAACTTATATTAGTTTATTAATTTATTGCTTGCCCAACCTTGCTTGGATATTTGCGTCTTCTCAGACCGTCGTAGCCTCCCCATTGTTCATTAGCGTAACCACCTCCGCCTACCTGCCAGCAGACTCAACCATGCATGCAAGTCTTGCGCGTGATATGCATGTATTAAAGCATTTATTACTGATTGCGTCATTACCTCTCCGATCCTGTTGTTACATATATCCTCTTTAATGCCCGGATTCCATGTTTTAGTACACTATAAGGTGTTTTAATTTATTTATTATGGGACTGGGGAACAATTACAAATTTGTAGCTAATCATGGTTGGGTTTTGTGAATGTTGTGTACTCAAGCAGAATGACTTGTTGTCCAGGAAATGTGGACTAGCGCAAACTGGAACTTTGTAATTAGCATTTCTGGTAGGCAATTTATTTCCAGTAATGTCTGTCACTGGCACGATTAATATGCACGATAAATTGGCTTGCGAATTACTAATAACATATATATATATATATATATATATATATATATATATATATATATATATATATATATATATATATATATATATATATATATATATATATATATATATATGCAATTGACGATCACAAAACACTGATCATTTTATGCGGAAAATCCACAGAGAAATATGAAAGGAGGTGAACGTTTCGACTTTGTTAAAGCCTAAAACAAAGGCTTTAACAAAGCCGAAACGTTCACCTCCTTTCATATTTCTCTGTGGATTTTCCGCATATATATATATATATATATATATATATATATATATATATATATATATATATATATATATATATATATATATATATATATATATATATAGGGGTACCACCACTGGTTTAATTAAAGGGACCCACATCCTCGAAGAAGAAAATAAATAGTGTTCAGAGAAGACCTTGTGGATTCTCACTGAATACTTTAATCTTTTCCTCTCCTACCACCCCTATTATTTATTTTTTTTTTATTTGATTTTATTGCAATGTTACAGTTTACAGAAAACACACACTTATATAACAATATACCAATCAGTGTTCGAAGACCTCGTCCAGTTCCTCGGGGGTCGGGTGCGTACCCAAGATACAACACGCATTTCCCCTCTGAACAGCGACACTGAGGCACTGGAACATAAAACTGGCCGCTCTTGGGTCTCTAGTCTTCCCAATGAGTTCCTCGCCCAGCTCCTTCAGGAACTTAAGTGCACGATAAATTGATAACGATAAATTGATAAATTAAACGATATATATATATATATATATATATATATATATATATATATATATATATATATATATATATATATATATATATATATATATATATATATATGCAATTGACGATCACTAAACACTGATCATTTGTATACGGAAAAACCACAAAGAAATTGGAAAGAGAGATGAACGTTTCGGCCTGTTAAAGCCTTTGTCAACACCAGACTGACTAGAGAAAGAGAGAGAGGATACAGGCCAACACCTGGAACCTGACCAACCCATCTAAAGGGAAAGAATTAACCAGAAACAGGAATAGCTTAGCTTAGAATGGTCAAAGAGGATTAAGCGCTCAGAAAATTTTTAGAATATTTTTAGAATAGAGAGAATATATTAAATTCTCTGACCGCTTAATACTCTTTGACCATTCTTTGATCCGTTCTTCTCTCTTTCCCATTTCTTTGTGGTTTTTCCGCATATATATATATATATATATATATATATATATATATATATATATATATATATATATATATATATATATATATATATATATATATATATATTATTTGCTGCTTAATGTAGGCTAGCCTAAGTAGCCTATCAGTATTTGTTCTTTTATATTACCAGCAAATGATGACATATATATATATACTCAACTCATTCGATGTTTAAAAAATATAACTTGGCATTTCGATTCTACCTTTTTAATCTTATATTTATCACATAACCTAAGATTCTTGTTTAATATTAGATCTGTAATCCTTCCTCAAAAATGATAGTACTTAAAACAACTATTGGTCGAATGTACAAAAATTAACTGTTGTACCCGAAAAAGTTCACGAATTGTTCTATTGGAATACTCCACATGGCTTGCCGCCAAAACAGTGGTCAATTATATATACAACCAAACCTGCCCTAGGCCTAAATAGGGAATCCTGGACCTAGTATACGCCATTTTCGGCCTCATTTAAGATATATATGTGGTAAAACGCCTAGGGAAGTTTATGTTCAGTTGTTGCATTTCTGGCACCCTCTACAAAATTCCTTGTACAAAACGTGAACTTGATTTGGGGTACATTTTTGTACTTACGACCAAATAGTTCATATAAGTACCATCATTTTCTGATGACAGGTTGTAAATAGACCTGTCATACCTTAGCATTGTTTATCAGGCTTAACTTTCTAAATTTAACCTTAAATCTTATATAACTTTGGAGAGTAACTCAACGTCCCGTTACCGGGCAACTCTTTTTTATTTTTTATCCTGGAGTGAGTGTGAGTTATCATAGGTGATAGTCTCGGTGCAGGCGATGAGTCACAATAACATGGCTGAAGTATGTTGACCAGACCACACACTAGAAGGTGAAGGAACGACGACGTTTCGGTCCGTCCTGGACCAATCTCAAGTCGATTGTGTGTCCCTTCACCTTCTAGTGTGTGTGGTCTGGTCAACATAGTCTCGGTGTTCAGGTGTAGATTATGAGGCTTGTGGTGCCGGGCATAGCAAACATACCTCACGCTTAGTTCATGGAACCCAATAAATCTAATCTCACCACTGATACCATGGCCTTCTATCTAAGAATATACTATCAGGTGGCACGTTCACAAATTGAACCTGGTGGTGGCTAATAAATTGAATGCAATTTAATTGCTTGGAGATTGCTACTCTCATTTTCTATAATCTGTGTTTATTGCACCTCATTTATATAGTGATTACAAGCTGGCTTTGAATCAAGGGGGTAGGGGGAAGGGGGGGGGGTGTGGGTGGTTATTCTATAATGTTCATGTCAAGTTCATTATCCCTCGTCACCCCCCCCCCCTCACTCTACAAGCCATGAAAGCAACTAGGTTATATATAATTTCCTCTTCATTATTAAGTAATTACGATTCGAGAAAACTATTTGTCATTCAGGGATCGTTGTAACAGGAATGTTGTATAACTTGTTTTTGTACAGTCAGAATTGATAAAAGAGCCTTCAGTTTGTTATGAAAGTTATCATTCGGTTAATATTTTAAACAAAATATGAGTGTCAGGTTGTGTTGAGGATTCATATATTCTAAATTAATATTTTTAAATGAAAGGTTCTATGCTGGCGTAGCCTACGACTGTTTGATAAAAGATATACTTTAACACAGCCTAACACCATCACAAATTCCATTGCACCACCGTAAGCTTTAAGTCTCCAGCATCCTACTAACTTAAACTGTTATAATGGAGTTTCTTTTATGGTGACGAATGCTTGACTCGAGATAGGTCGATATCTTGATTTTCTCGAGGAAAGTTAAACGTAAATAGCCTAGATTCGTCAAATGGTTTAATATGAAAACCTAGACACCTGGGCTTAAATTTCCTCCACAAATGTTGAAGATATTGTCAAATTTATCGTTCAACTTTCGCCAAAAATTTACGACACTTTTATCCAGATAGCCAGTTTGGAAGACTTATAATGGGTGCGTCCTACTTCTTAAATTGCTTGATATATCTGTAGGGGTAGGCTATTCTCCAATATATTCTCTTTTCTTAGTATTATTTTTGCATAAAATCCGGAACGTCCTTGTAAAGGCCCCATCACCTTGTAAAGCAATTTTTTTATGTATATTTTTTATTTAAACATATAAAGCCAATAGTATTCCTCAATTAAGCGATGATATCATCAAAGATCATATTTGACTTTATTTTAACCATGACTTCCAGTTTTACAGGTCATGTTGACAGTAATATAGGCTAGTCTCTGCTTTTATGTAGGCTTACAGTTATGTCATTTTAGCCTACAGTTTAAAGTACCATTGACTGCAGGTGCATAGTGCAAAATTAAGTTAAACCATCTTGACCTGGAAGAGAAATTCAAAATAGACTAGGCTAATATCCCCTGGATTTTACAAAATAGTTGGCTATCTCTCAAGATTATTCAGCTTTAGGCCCGCTGCTTTAATAGACCCCCCCTTTTTTTAGTATATTTAGGCCTACGGTGACTTAGGTCAAGAACTAAATTCCCATGTTATTTAAACCAGGTCTGAACAATATTGTGATGAACATATGCTACAATAATGCGGATATAACATTAGCAGATCAGGGAAGAGCTCGGAGGAGAGAGAGTAGATATGTTGCATTAGCACATGGCCTAATTGGTCAGGAATTTAATCCCAGTTTGTTTTGGTTAATCTAAGCATGCTTGCTTACAACGATATTCAACTGAGCCATTTAGAATTTGACTAGTGTACATTAGTATAATGGAGACATTTTATTTTTGTTTTACTAAGTTTTTAGCCTAATTCGTTTGATAAATTGAACATTAGGACTTGTGATAAGTAGTCATTTATATTATTTGATTATTGTTTTTTTATATAAATTACCTTGGTTAAAGCCAGCCTAGGGTGCGTGATAAGCTTTGCAGACAGATTACATTTGGTCAGAACTTCATCAGCATACATATATGTGGATATTATTGAATGAGCCATAGGCCTAGATACAAAACCCACATAAGCAAACCTAACACCTCATGTTCAACAAGTGTAGTCTAAAAGATCTGGCAGATATCTCACTAGTTTGTCTCATTGTTTCACAAATCTATTATCGTTGAATTATCATGACTGACTACTTCCGCCGAGAGACCATCTTCATTTTCTGCGCCTGACTTTTGTTTCTTAATTACCTTACATTTCAGTTTGTATATTTGTATTCATATGTTTCTTCTCTTCTGTTTTCTCTCGTGTGTGTGCGCGTTTGGTGAGGGCGACCTTCACTCGTGGCATTTATTGCCGGATCTTGCTGCGGGCAAGTTTTGCTGAAAGTTTCGGAAGATCCTTCAAAGACTATAATCACTTGAAAGACTTAGAAAACTAGGTCTCAAATGCATTGGTTTTCTGTCGAAATCTAAACTAACTTCAACGCAAGGTAGAATCAACACTTTCTTGTAACTTTAAACTTGTATAAAGTTTTCCATGTAACGACAGATGGCCCTGATTAACTCACGCTTAGGACTCGTATGCTTGAGAAGGTAGTAGAGTGTGTGGTCTAGTATGTAATAAGGGCCACATATGTTGATTGGCAACTGGCACGACAGTTCTACCAGGCTTAGGCTAAATGCAATATTGTTTAGTTCTCTCCGTTATTACTCCCTTATCTATGTAAATAATGCCGTAATCGCTTCCAGTTTCCCACCTGTTGCGTTGTCATGCAGTGTAGCGATGCTGGACCATTGCCAAGTCCTCACACATTCTTGGGCTGCAGGACGCAGATATAGACACTGTTTATGTTAACCCATATATACTGCTGATCCTAATCACAAAACTTCGGAAGACACCTTGCGAACTCCGGGGGTTGTCACGATATGTTAGCTACTGAAGGTCTTGGCATATGTATTTACAATGTTTCTAGCAGCCTTTCATTAATAACTATACTAGTTGTAATTAATGTTTATCATAATTAATATCACGCATATTACCTCGGTGGTTTTGTCTCGTGAAGCCTATCTTCGACGAGGTTTGAAGTTCGTACTGTAATAATGCAAATCTATTTTACCAACACTAGCCTATGTAAGTCTTAGGTTCTACGAATCATCATTATTAGTACAATTGTTTTTTGCAAATTTCACGAAAGTGTCTACTAAGTTTTGATTTTAAATTGATTTTCACGCATACGATTTGTGTATTCAAGTTATGTATAACATTGTGTATCATAAGTAACGATGGTAAAATGTTATATATATATTTTTGTTTATTTCAGGTGTGGCGCCAGAGAGCGGCGTGATGAGGTCAGGTCAGTACAAACTGGCGGGGGCCGGGTCAAGGGGAGCAGAGAGCCGGGTGACGGTGGTAGGACACTTCAGGTCCAGCCAGTCCGACCTCCCACCCCCAGACGCCTTCGTCGGCGACTTCCCCCACATGAACTCACTACTCGTCACTAAAAACAAGCTCTCAGACTCGCGACCCTTTAACAAAAGCTGTGAGAACCTGAGCACCAGTGGCGGCGGCGCCCGCGGTGCTGTAATGAGGGTGGAACAGCGGGTCAAGAGTCTCCTGCAGAGGGGCGAGTCCCGCCTCAGACACTCTGACGAAGGTGCCCCCGTAGAAGATGTGTGGCAGTATGGACACATAGTGACACTACCCCGCCGACCCCGCCTCTCTCTGGCACTCTCTCACTCAGCCCTACATCATCTCTCCTCAGACACAGCCTCCTGTCTTAGTGGCAGCAGCGGTTACTCCTCCTCCTCCTCCAGTAGCTACGGCAGCTTCAAGAGTAGTACTTCCAGTAGCTGTTCCACTCTACCCCGGAAGAAGAGCCGGAGGGAGAGCAGCGCCATACCCAGCGGAGGGGATCTGCCTCCACCCCTCACAAGGTCATGCACACTCGTTGATAACCCCATGTATGACGTCACGCCCGCGACTGACCCTCGTAACTTTAGTCGCAACAAATCTCCCAAAAGGAGAGGTTCTCCCCCGCCCAGCAACGAGCCCTTGTATGACCTCACGCCAGACAGCGACCCATACAATCTGGACCTCTGCGAGGCGCGTCAGGGCTCCCCCTCCACACACGACCCCATATATGACGTTATTCCCGGCGGCGACCCTCACAGTCCTTGTCGGGAGTCACTTCCACAGTGTCATAACAACCAACTCTATGACCTGACACGACCTTCCCGCCTCCTCACCCCAGACTCTGGCACGCACGGTGGTCTCGACTCCTTGGAAGAATCTGCTCTAGATTCCCTAGATTGCTCTGACCCCCAGAATGGAATGCTGGACGATGAATTTTTTGAGGAAGAAGACCAGGTGGCCAAAGAATGTCGCGAATACTTCGAACGGCGACTCAAGAACTCAGAGACATTGAAAAAACGATGGTCGATGTGCTCGTCTGATTCCGGCGCCGATCCCGGAGACAATGATGTATCTGCCACCAGCATCCCGACCTCCGCCCACCCTCTAAGCATCGCCTCCAATACCTCCTCCATACCAGATGACTCCAACACCTCCCATTCGTCAAGTGCCACACAGGATACCGCTTCTCCCAAGAAGACGCCGCTCGATCAGAAAATGGAGTTCCTTCGCAAAGAAATCGTAAGTAATCGATGTAAAGTAACGTAAACTTTCTCACATACATTTGGAACGTTATTCTCATACTCTATTTACTGTGGGTGTGGTTGTGGCGTGTGTGTGGTGTGGCGTGGGTGTGGCTAGTCAAGCATGTTAGGTGTGCGCGCGCCTAAGATCAAGAGACACGAAGCGCTTCACGACAAGCGATTGGGCAGCATTCCCTTCCACCCGTGGGGTGACCACCGTTGGAGACCAGCATCACCCTCCCCCCTCTGCCTTCCATCCCTCCCAGTCACTCTTTCTTTTTATCACCCGTTAATCATAATTCTCTCTCTCTCTCTCTCTCTCTCTCTCTCTCTCTCTCTCTCTCTCTCTCTCTCTCTCTCTCTCTCTCTCTCTCTCTCTCTCTCTCTCTTCGCTGTGGGTCGTTTCATTCAGCATTCACTAGACGCACAGGCTCGTCGCGCGACGGCATTCTTGCCGTCGGATGGGGGTTGGGGGGTTGGGGTTATCACGGCCCAATCTTGGTCAGGCGACCTTGTGGTAGTTAGCTAGAACAGTGGTTCAGCCCCTGGGCCTAACCTCCCCTGTTGTGGAGTCTTTATCTCATTGGACTAATACCCGGGAATTGTTCACTTTCTTTTCCTATTGCTTGTTAATGCCTACTGTTGCGTAGTTACAGGTGTATCTTCTCCCCTCTCTTTCTCCTATTTTTATTCTACCATCCTATATGTCCTCTATTCTATTCCGACCTCTTTTGTTCTTCCGCTTCCTCTTCTGCTTCTTCTTTTACTCTTCTTCTCCTCCCGCTCTTCCTCTTCTCTACCCCACTTCCTTCTCTCGTCCTTCCCCCCCCCCCTTTCTCTGCTCTCCCTCCTCCTCTACTTCTCTACTTCCTCTGCTTCTCTACTCCCCTTCTCTCCTACCAGCAATTCTGTCAGCTTCTCCCTGATTCCTCAGCATGAAGCATTTTATCACCCCCCTCCCCTGACCTTCCCTCCCCCCAATCTCCACCCCCCAACTCTCCTTCCACCCCCCAACTCTCCTCCCACCCTCAATACCCCCCAACCCCAAACCAGTCTCCCCCCTGCCCACCCCAACTGGAATGCCTGGGAAGCAGCAGAGAGTGACCTTGGTACACAAACGCCCGTGGGATGGAAAGCCTGGTGGACGGACCTCGCCTGCCCGACCTAGCCTTACGGGATATTCATGCCCGTGCCACCTCTTGGGTGGCTTAATCTTCATCAATCAAATCAATCGACTTAGCCTACATCGGCTGCACTTTTGTATCCTTGATTATTTGGGTGGGAGTAAAGATGATGTGGAGGTACAAATGAAGGGAAATGTATTTGAAATGAGGAGAATATGGCATGAGGTATGATAGCAAGCGGGCTGTTCGCCTTGCTGTTACGATGTGTGTGTGTGTGTGTGTGTGTGTGTGTGTGTGTGTGTGTGTGTGTGTGTGTGTGTGTGTGTGTATGTGTGTGTGTGTGTGTGTGTGTGTGTGTGTGTGTGTGTGTGTGTGTGTGTGTGTGTGTGTGTGTGTGTGTGTGTGTACTCACCTATTTGTGCTTGCGGGGGTTGAGCTTTGGTCTTTGGTCCTTTGTGTATATGTGTGTGTGTGTGTGTGTGTGTGTGTGTGTGTGTGTGTGTGTGTGTGTGTGTGTGTGTGTGTGTGTGTGTGTGTGTGTGTGTGTGTGTGTGTGTGTGTGTGTGTGTGTATGTGTTCGGTTTGGTTTTTTATGATTCATTTGAGGTTGTGGGGGTACACTTTTGAGGTGTACACGGGTACACTTTTGAGGTGTACACGGGTACACTTTTGAGGTGTACACGGGTACACTTTTGAAGTGTACACGGGTACACTTTTGAGGTGTACACGGGTACACTTTTGAAGTGTACACGGGTACACTTTTGAAGTGTACACGGGTACACTTTTGAGGTGTACACGGGTACACTTTTGAGGTGTACACGGGTACACTTTTGAGGTGTACACGGGTACACTTTTGAGGTGTACACGGGTACACTTTTGAGGTGTACACGGGTACACTTTTGAGGTGTACACGGGTACACTTTTGAGGTGCACACGGGTACACTTTTGAGGTGCACACGGGTACACTTTTGAGGTGTACACGGGTACACTCGTGAAGTGTACATATATACTGTGTGCCCACTTATATACCACGTGTCAATGTGCGTCTCAAATGAATACAAGGTACAAATTAATGATGGTGCTAATTGTACCCTCGAGAATGACGCACTGTACAATCAGCACTGTTGCTGATTGTACAGTTTCTGCTAATGATGGCAATAATATTGAACCACAAGATGCGAGTGTTGGAAGCTGCATCTTCCGCTCATCTCACCTCTAGCTCATCCCCCGTGGGGGAAGATTAATATTGAACCACAAGATGCGAGTGTTGGAAGCTGCATCTTCCTCTCATTTCATCTCTAGCTCATCCCCCGTGGGGGAAGATTAATATTGAACCACAAGATGCGAGTGTTGGAAGCTGCATCTTCCGCTCATCTCACCTCTAGCTCATCCCCCGTGGGGGAAGATTAATATTGAACCACAAGATGCGAGTGTTGGAAGCTGCATCTTCCGCTCATTTCATCTCTAGCTCATCCCCCGTGGGGGAAGGAACTGGGTCGGCCTCCACCGCTGGATCAATAACACTGGGTCGAGGTTACACTTGATGAAAAGGTCGGGGCCATGGCTTCCGGAGAAGGTTAGTAGTGGTGGTGGGTTTGTTATTCTGTTGATGTGAGTTGTGGGGATGTTGAAGCTCACTATGATGGGGATGATTAATTTGCTAAGTGGTATTGGGGCAACCTGCTCTCCTAATAGAACGTCGCATTTTGACGTATGTACTAACTTAGGGCTTACTTTTCTGTTATTAGGCTTTTGACGTTGTTCTCACTAACGCGACTAATGTATGCGTTGAGACTCCTACTACTGCTGCTGCTGCTGCTGCTACCTAGCCTATAGACTATTGCTACCAGCTGTTGTTACTTGGTTATTGTTGCTCTTCCTCTACAGCTGTTGCTACGTAACACTATAGCGACTGTTACTGCGATCTACTCCTGGCGCTACTTATTGTTTCTGATGCTTTTCCTGCAGCTATGGCATCTGTTATTCTGCTGAATGAGAATACGCTTTTCCGGTGTTGTTTCCAGTGTGGGTGTTACTACAGCGACACCACCACCACCACCACTACCACCATCAGCTGCTGGTGGTGCTGGTGGTGTTGTCGCATAATGAGGCTATAATGAAGCTCTCATGGTCGTTTATCCGGGTTAATGGTCCGTTCCTCGTCGCTAATGACGGTGTGTGTGTGTGTGTGTGTGTGTGTGTGTGTGTGTGTGTGTGTGTGTGCGCGCGCGCGCGTGTGTGTGTGTGTGTGTGTGTGTACGTACTCACCTAGTTGTGCTTGCGGGGGTTGAGCTCTGGCTCTTTGGTCAAGGGTGGCACTGGCTCTGCTGGCATGGGTGTGTGTGTGTGCGCGTGTGTGTGCGCACGCAGTCACGCATATTGAACACACTAAAGAATCATATTGAGGTAAGAGAGCAGCTGATGAAGGCAAGATGGCCACACGAGGCAGAGGACCCTTACTATACAACTACCAATAAGTTGCATCGATGTCTGTGGGAGTCGATCTGGGGATCTTAAGATGTACTATACATCCCGACTCTCAAACCAAAGCGCCACGAGTCTATTGAATACCCCCCCTCCCCTCTCAGTCACTCTAACAAGGACAGCTTAGTTAGAATACATCACTAACCATCAGAACTTAGACATACGAATGAGCTTCATAAATTTCCATAAATTAGGCTTATGGAAATCATAAACTAAATACATGAGGCTAGTTTTTCACTGTTCTTGGGATAATTGGACTGTAACGACTCTTAGTCAGTCAGTACGACTGGGAGTCGTGCTGACTGGGAGGCGTGCGTCCCAGTCAGCACGCCGTCATAAAGCATCAGTAGATAATGTGCGTTATGTATGACGCAATTATTTGAGGCTGATGGTCGTACGTCAGGCAGCTCACGGTGAAGATTACTGGCTGGTGAAACGCTAACCACTATAAACACCGGCGTGTTTATTGACCATCGTGCCCTGTGTTCTTTTTTGTAATAAAGCTGAGTTCTCTTACCGCCAAAACACTCTCTCTCTCTCTCTCTCTCTCTCCAACACCCACACCACCTCCAAGGTCCACTCTCCTCCTTCACGTACTCTGAACTTGACCAAGCCATCGCCAGGCGCGAAATCACAAGGACTCTGTTAATGATTTCGTTGTTTGCGTTCATTGTACGCTGGCCAGAGCACGCGGTCACGTCCGCCGTCGAGGCTCCACGTGTTGCCCTTGCAGAGCAGTTAGCCAAGCGTGCGTGCGTGTACGCGTGCGTGTGAGAGGGGGAGGGGTCAATAGCCGCCCCCAGATGACTGTGTTAGTGGTCCGGGGAGCAGCAGCAAGGTGTGGGAAGACGCCATGGGGACGAGGAGGAGCAGGACCGCTCATAGGGAGAGGAGAAGATGCCATCTTCAAGCTATCTGGCAGCTCTCCCCTCCCACCGTGTCTGTTAAAGATCACAACAGTTGGTTTGTGCAGTGGTTTAGAGTTGTTAGTGTGTCTCCCTTTCGCTATCCTGGGGTATATCTTGAGGTTACCTTGAGGGGATTTCGGGGCTCAGCGACCCCGCGGCCCGGTCGTCGACCAGGCCTCCTTGTTGCTGGACTGGTCAACCAGGCTGTTGGACGCGGCTGCTCGCAACCTGACGTATCAGTCACAGCCTGGTTGATCAGGTATCCTTTGGAGGTGTTTGTCAAGTTATACTCTGAGGGGGTATACTCAGAGTATACCTGGGTTCTGGGAGGGTTTTGTTGTTGTACTCATAATGTCCGGTGCTGCGGTAAAGTCTCTAGTGTAATGACCTGAAACCCTTCACTGAAACCATTACAAATATCCTTGCGTCTTCCGTCAATATTTCATCCCTCGTACAGCATTAGGGAGCTTTGATGTGCTGTA